CATAGGCATTGTGGCTGGTGGGCATCTGGTAACTCGGACATTTGATTATCACCTGGCTCCCTTTGATCCTGTGGAAGCAGATAAGGGAGAAGTTCCTAACAGAGGTAACAGAGAAGAAAGGGCCAACAAATGGTTTCAGAAGTTGCATCCCAGCAAGGAAGAGTCAACAAATGGTTTCAGAATTTGCATTTCAATAAGGAATGGTTTCACTCTAAAGCTCTGCTAGGGAGGGGGGCAGGAAAGGGAGAGTTACTAATTTGTAGTGTTTTAACTCTGGAATCTCCCTCAGGGTCCCTAGGGACCTAACAGTGGTGAATCTGATGTAGGCAGGTAGATAGGGAAAGGCTCTCTGCAATGAAACAAAGTCTCATAGAAGAAGAATTCCAGGACCGACCCACCCTGTGGAGACAGAGAATAAAGACTTGATAAGACCATCCCCAGAACCTGAAGATATGGGCCTCCTCCCCATGAAATTCCTCCTTTCCGAGAACCCCCTTTCAATCAGGTTGACTCCAGCGACCCAGCCCCAAGGAGATTCCAGGACATTCCAAGTCAGATGATTCACCAACCGCTTTCAATCAGGTTGACTCCAGAGACCCAGCCCCAAGGAGATTCCAGGACATTCCAAGTCAGATGATTCACCAACCGCTTTTAATCCGGTTGACTCCAGAGACCCAGCCCCAAGGAGATTCCAGAACATTCTGAGTCGGAAGGATCTATAAGAACCAGCTCGAGAGCCCACTTGGCGCTCTCTCCACCCTCGGAGAAGCCCGCGTTCCCTCTGGACACGTTACTCTCTCTCTCTCTTACTATCTGCTTATCCCTTTCTCTCCCTCTCCAAAGGCCTCCAAATAAAACCTGTTACTTCACTGCTCGTCTACTCCTGAAATTCTTTTCTGCGAGCGAGACAAGAACCCCAGAAACCTCGGGTAAGGCTTGGGACTGGTCTCTCCTTTCCTGCAAAGAGCGAATTCTCGCCCCAACTTGAATCCATGGCTCCCCGAGCAATCGGGTGGCGGGGATTAACTCCCGTGCCGAGAAGATCAAGCGGATTCAGGTGTGGCTTGACGGCCACCTCGTGGGGCTGGCGGGGCTTAGGCCCATGCTGAGCAGGTGCTCGCTGCAGACTTTACCGGTCCTAGCCTACCCAGGGTCCCGGGCGGCAGAGGCGGTTGGGGAGAAAGTGACCGTCTTTCTCCTCCCCACTTCACATACGCCACCTGTGGGGTCCACCGACATCAAATCCATAATACAGGATCCTGATGTACTGAGTTTGTACGCCCTGTTTGTCTAGGGTTTCGATGACCGCTTCAGTCTCAACAGAATCAAAGTTCACTACCCAGTGAAATATTCTAGATTTTAGCACTGTTAACAATAGCCAGAAGCTGGGAACAATCTGAGTGCCCAACAACAGATGTATGGATAAAAACAAAAAAAAAAAACAAAAAAAAAAACAAACTATAGTACACCTACACAATGAAGTACTACACATCTGTTAGGGAAAATGAGGCCATAAACTTTGTCTATAAATGGATAGACTTGGAGAGTATCATGCTGAGTGAGATGAGTCAGAAGGAGAGGGACAGATATAGTAACTGCATTGAGATAGAAATGGCCCTGAATTTTGCAACAGGCCGTGTTCACTGGGCTGCTCCAGACAGGGGTAGGTGCCATCCCTCCACCTACCCCCTAGGACCTCCGGCGGGTGCCATTTTCTAGAAGCCAGCAATAAGCTCTAGGTATGAGGACAGTGGCACCAAACGCCAGGCCTTACAGGACAGGGGAGGAGTGGGCACTCCTCCCCCTGCCCTGATGGGACTCCGAGATGATGCCACACCTGGCCACTGTCTGCTTAAGCTCCCACATGGCCAAGATCCAGAGACACACAAACAGTCCTCAATCCCAAGCAACTTGCTGCAGTGACCTCTTCAGACCCTAACTGTTAAAATTTTAGAATTCCTAAAGCGCGCGGCTACAACAAAATATCGCACCGAAACAAAGGATATAAAACACATTGTCAAGCATTGCCTTTTCGGCAGGTGTGAGTGGTGGTGGGGCTGGTCTCCAAATGTCAAAGGTAACTAAAGTAGAGGAAGAGAGTATTGTGCAAATTGTCTGCCACACAGGCACGGGGAGGTGTGGAATGGGCGGAGGGGGGATACTGGGGATTTTGGTGGCTGTGTAAACACACAAAAAATAAAAAGGCCGGCGGCCAGGCCATTTCCCCACTCCACGGAGGTCGATGGCGATGGTCAGGCGAAGGAAGGAAACGAGGCCAAGCTGGTTGGTCTTAGCAGCGATTTATTACATGGAAGAGATGTATGTCATGGAGGCTTCAGGAGTCCTCAAGCACATGCACCCCGAGAGAGCCCCGAAAATCCCCTTATATCCATCATGGTACCTCTAAAGGGCGAATATAGTGATGTCATGGAAAAGAGCTATAGAAAGAACGTTGAGGCAGCAAACATAGTTTCTTTACATCCACATTTTTCTTTACATCTGCAGGCCAGTTATCTTGGCCTCACCTTTACAAGCTATTTGGATTAACACATCAAAGAGGAGTCTGCTAGAGCTTGGAGCCTACATCTCAAATATCAGCCTGCCTGGAGCCAGGTATCTACATACCCAAGATCAGGCCTGGCTTAGCACCTGAGATCTGCTTACCTAAGACCAGCTAGGCTCCTGTGAGATAAGGGAAACTGCCTCAATATGCCAGAGTTCGATCCCCATCCGGGCCGTCTGTGACCAGGTTATCCTGGGCCGTACGGAGCAAATTCTTGCATGATCTCAGATGGCAGCTCACAGATGCTGAATGAAAGAAAGACCAACCGGAAAGAACAGGAGAGGCCACAGACTGTCACCAAAAGGCAACTTTATTCGGGGCAAACAGTGGTTACAGAGATGCAAAAGGAATGTGATACATGTTGGGTGTGAGACAGGGGCAAAGGGGGATGGAAGGGGTCAAAGGTTACATATCTGCATCAACTTGAAGGTGAAGGTTCGGGCAGGGGGGAAGCGAACAGGCAGCTCTGAGGCTCTGTCCAGCACTGGCATCGGACTGGACGTGCAGGTGAGGAGGACAGATGACCCGGAGACTCGGTGAGGGGAGCACCGGCCAGCAGGTGCATCCCATGCTGGGAGCACCCTGGACAGCGCAGTCAAGTCCTCCTCCCTGCAGCTGACCGAGGACAGGCGAGCTCGTGTCCACCCGGCTGGGGCCCGCCTCCTGAGTACTGTTTGGGATCCAGCTCCTGGGTAGAGCCTGGCTTGCACCTGTGAGGTGCAGGGCTGGCCCCTACCAGCCACCAGGGGGGTGGGGGGCTGCTGGTCCAGGACCCACCGCATGCTCAGTAATCACACAGGAGTAGGAAGCCCTGGGCAGGGACTTAGAGCCACACACACATTGTGAAGGCACAATTCCATAGTAGGGGGACAGAGCGAGGGGTAGGTGTGTAAGCACACAAAAATAAAAGGCCGGCGATCAGGCTGTTTCCCCACTCCACAGAGGTCGATGGCGATGGTCAGGCGAAGGAAGGAAACGCGAGCCAGGCTGGTTGGTCTTAGCAGCAGTTTATTACATGGAAGAGATGTATGTCATGGAGGCCCCAGGATCTCTCAAGCACGTGCACCTTTGTTCTCTCAGCTTCTGTCCTCAGCCCCATCTTCCCAGGTTCTCTGATGCACGTGTCCCCAGAGAGCCCTGAAATCTCCCTTATATAGATCATGGTACCTATAAAGGGCGCAATATAGTGATGTCATCAAGAGGAGTTACAGAAAGAACATTGAGGCAAAACATACATTGTTTCTTTACATCCCCAGGCCAGTAATCCTTTTACAAGCTAAAAGCACTTGGGTTAGCACATCAAAGACCAGTCTGCTAGAGCTTGGAATCCACATCTCCAAGATCAGCCTGCCTGGAGCCAGGCATCTACATCCCAAAGACCAGGCCTGGCTTAGCACCTGGGATCTGCATACCTAAGGCCAGCTAGGTTCCTGTGAGAAAAGAGAAACTGCCTCAATATACTGAAATCACTTACTGAAGGCAGTTTGAAGGGGAGAAAGTTCAGTCTCATCCCAGCTAGTCAGGACACACAGGAAAACTGCTTCTAGGGCAGATTCTCATCTAGCAGATCAACTCACACTAGAACAGATTTCCCTGGATGTGTTTCTCCTCTCCTTGTCTGACCAACATATAAGCATACACGATATAAATCATTTTGTATGGACTCAGTAAGAAATACTTTGTGCATGTAGAATTGCTCTCCCAGAGCCATCTCAATCTCAGACTGCAGTGCTCAGGCCAGGTAGCTTTCCTATTCCTAGCAGCAGGGTCCTAGTCTAGTCATTACTTTTGAATCATGACAGCATTTGCCTATGATCAAACTCTTAACTTACAGTTAAGAATCGTGGCACTGTCCCATCGCGATGCTAGGGTAGCACATGACTTACTGGCTTGCCCTGGTTCCATCCAGTCCCACGTCGGGACCCTGCCCTTGGAGTGCTAGGAAGTGAGGGCAACTGAGGCTTAAGTTGAGAAGGCAGATGCCCAGGAGTGAATAATATTCTAAGCCAATCAATTCCTAAGTTACCGAGCATATTAATTAATTGTCTTCCTGTATCCATACAAAAGGACATTGCATTAAAGTAAACTGCTCAAAAGTCATAAGGAGAGGAGAAAGGCAATATTAACTTACAGTACAGCTTCAGTGTCTAAGCAGGATGAGACCTTACAAATTGGTTGGGGAAGAGAGCATAGAAGTGGTTACAGACAGACAAAGTAACGGGAGTGACTTGGGAGCACTGTGATGGGTGCAACCTGATAAACCTAAGCTCCATGTACTCCAACAGGTAGGGAGACATTTTCACACCATAGGAGACCCGAGAAATTCAGAGCAGCATCTAGAAGCTGGACGCCATGTGCACGTTTGCTGGGGGGACTTGGGGGTTCCCTATTCCCTCACCTGCTTCATACAGCCGGGTACGCAGGGCACGAGCTCTGTGTCAGGTTGGTCAGCGGGTGGGTGGGCACTGAGGATGATCACCTCCTCGGGATCCAGGGTAGGGCACGTCGCAGGGTCCTGGGTGTTTCTGGGGGGCTGGAGCACAGAGCCGTTAGCTGGGGCGCCGGGAGCTCACGGGACAGATCTTCCAGAGTCGTTTGTGGGAATAGAGCCTCGGGGACCCCCAGACATGTCCTGACCTCTGGGACCATGTTGGGATCTAACTGTGCGCATGGGCATCTGGGAAGTGGGGTGAGCCAGACCCAGGGACTGGCGTGTTCCCAGGAGGGGTGCAGAGGCCCCCTGGGGAATCCTAGCCCAGTCTTTGGTTCCCGAGCAGGCCCTGAGCACACTCACCTGCGTGTGGGTTTCCCCGGTCCAGAAAATGCCTCCAGAGACACAAGCGCAGAGGGCGTCCACTCAGTCCCTATCCTGAATCCAGCGCCAGGTTCACTATGGCTAGGTTGGCTAAGAGGACCAGGAAGAAGGATAAAGGGAACGGGATGTCCAGGCCACCTGCCCCGCCCACCTCCCAACTGAGGGCACCCGACACCCCACCTCTGGCCAGCTGACCTCAGACAGGGGGTCCGGCACTCGCAGTCCCGTACCCTGCCCAGCCCTGTTCCCACCCTGTTCCCAGGCTCCCATCTCAGGCTCCTGAGGCCCATGGGACACACGGACTCAGACAGACTCATACACACACACACACACACACACACACACACACACACACATTCACATCTTCTCACATACACACACTCACATACTGTTCCCTACCGCGGGACCATCTCTCCAGCCCCTGATCTTTACTTCAGGGTAGGTCTAACCAGGACTTACCTTGATTTGTTTGCTTTTATTATAATTATTTTTATATGAATTTTCCTCTGAGACACCGAGGAGGTTTACAATACTGTTCGCAATGGGGCTCCACACACACCAAGTCCCAACCCCCCCTCCCACCCCTCCACCCAGCACAGCCGTGTTGAACGACTGACCAGCAGCCTTGGCCACGGCTGTGGCCTCACAGTAGCAAGTAAGAAGACTACCTTTGTGAAAAAAGGTAGGCATGCTCCCATGACTGAAAATCCAGCACCAGGTTCACTATGGCTAGGTTGGCTAAGAGCACCAGGATGAAGGACAAAGGGAACGGGATGTGCAGGTACAGATGAGAGCCCCAGCCTCCGCTTTCTGAGCCTTCTGCAGGGGACAAACCAGAGAATGAGGCGTCAGGGTCAGCAAACCAGGCTGCAGGGCAGCGGGTGGGAACTGTCCTTTCCAGAGAGGGCGCTGGGCATCTGGATGCGCACATGACACAGCCCGCACACCGCACAGAACCCAAGGGTGGGCTACGGGGGCGAGGAAGGACAGTGACGCCCCCTCAGAAGAGTGCTTGCTGAGAGGGAGTGCTCCCAAGGAACAAAGAGAGTGCTCCCCAGGGGACCGAGTGGGTGCTCCCAGGGGGCTGAGAGTGCTCACCCAGAGGGATGAGAGAGTGCTCGCCAGAGGAGAGGCCGAGACCCCCTGCTGGGTCCAAGGGTCCCCAAGCACCCGCAGGCACTCTGCAAAGGCCAGCTTGTGGCAGTGGAGGGTGCTGGCTGTCAGGGGACCCGGTGGTGCGGGGAGGCGCCGGGGGGGGGGGGGGGGGGTTGCTCAGCCCTGAGCCTGTGTCCTGTGCTGATACCGACATTTGTGGTCGTTTGTCCCAGGTTTGTGTCTACACTTTCACCAGACCCAGAGGGGTGGGCATCACTCTGGCCCCCACATGGTGGGCGGGAGCAGAGCTGGGAGCAGTGTGGCCCACCTGTGGGAGTTGTGTTGGTGTTTCTGGTTTGTTCCGGAGAATCCGTCAGGGCGGCATCCCAGGTGGGGCCCGTCCTGCCTGAGATCCTGGTGACGGCATCACTGCCCGCGGCTCCAACCTCTGGGGTTAAGAGTAGACGGGCAGAGGTGAGTTCACGTGGCCCACTGGGGCTGACCCTTAAGACCCGCTGACACGATGCAGACAGGACTTACCGGTCCCTGAGCCGCCGTCTCCAGCACAGACTGTGTCACTTATGTTGGTGCAGGGGCGTATTTCGGTATTACTTCCACAGCTAGGAGCAAGGGGAAAGAAGCTCCGGTTACTGTCCCTCTCGACGCCCAACCGGGCCCACAGCACCCTCCTTGCCACGCAGGTCCAGGACAAAGGGACCAGCCCGGCTCCCAGGGTGATGGGGCACCCACTGGGCCAGGGAAAGGCCTGGAAATCTGATACACTAGGAGGGCTGTGATCTGGACGGGCACAGACACATGCAGGAGGAGGTGGCCCCAGAAAAGGCAATTGGAAGCAAGTCCAGAGAAGGAAGCGCCCTGATCAAGCCAGACCTGAAGGCAGCACGTGCTCTGGCCTGGGTGATTGCGCAAGACCCTCCAAGAGACTTGTAAGCGGGAGCTGTAGGATAACATTGCTTTGCCCTTCTTCCACAAGAAGCTTAGGTTTATCTGGTTACACCCATTAATCTGGTTACACCCATCACAGTGCTCCAGAGGCACTTCCACTTCCATTGTGTTTACATGTAAACAGTCTTCCCTATGCTCTCCTTCCCACCCAATTAATCAGCTTTCCCCTCAATCAGACTTAGTTAATTTGTAAGATCAGTTTCCCAGAAATCTATGATTTTATATGTATGAGTGTGCGAGGAACGCCAAGAGAGAGATAGCCACAAAAAATCGCCTATTTTCGAAAACTCTTGAGCTAATTCGCCAGTATGGTTTGGCGCATGCCTCAGGCAACCGCAAGCTAACGTCCGAGCTCGCAAAGCAGTGCAGAGATGCAATCAAGGAAGACCTCAAAGAGAGAAGAGCAGAAGTACTGATAGATGCGGCAGAAGCCGGGAAAAGTATTCGTAACGCCCGCCTGTCCTTCGCCAACTATAAGACCAAGATGACTGCCCTCCGACGTCCTGATGGATCCATCACATCCTCCAGAACGGCAATGGAGAAGATTATCCATGACTTCTACTCAAATCTCTTCGATAGCCATGTCCACTTGCCGACATACCAAATTCCACAGGATGGATATGTCGTTCCCAACCTTCTCCCTTCCGAAATCCGACATGCCATTTCGTCGGTAAAGAAACAAACAGCACCCGGCCCGGACAAGGTCAGACCTGAACACCTGAAGAACCTGCCGTCAGTACTCATCAATACACTGGCTCGGCTCTTCACTCGCTACCTGTCTGAATGCAAGGTTCCGTCCCAATGGAAAACCAGCAGGACCGTACTACTGTTCAAGAAGGGAGACATCCATGACATTGGCAACTATCGCCCGATCTGCCTATTGTCTGTCATCTACAAGTTGTTCACTCGAGTCATCCTAAATAGGATTGGCAGAACACTAGATGAAGGACAACCATGCGAGCAAGCCGGGTTCCGAAAAGGATTCAGCACCATCGACCATTTTCATTTTTCATTTCATCATCCTGTTAATCATCGATTGCCTCGAGCAGGCCCCAGTAACGTCTCTTTCATCCTAGCCCTGAGATTATATTCACGGCTCTTTAGGAGAATGAGACCCATCATTGTTACTGGTATTTGGCATATTTGGTAGGCCACGGGGAGTTTGCCAGACTCTGCCCTGTGGGCAGGCTACATTCGACAGCCTGCAAGTTTGTCCAAAGTAGGAATGAGATAATAAGATGTCATAAAAAAAAGTTTTGATAAGATGTCGCATTCGCGGCCGCGCGGTTCCGGGATCTGGATTTTATAGTCTCTGAGTCTTGGCCGCTGTCTCCAATCCAAGTAGGCTTGGAGGTCTCGGCCCCGGAACCCGCGTGGCTTTGTCCCTCTGCCAGTACCTTCATGTGTGCGGAGAGTGGTCTCAGCATGGTGGTGGCTGGTCCTGGAGGTCTTCGGCTGCCGGAGCCCCGGTCGGGGCGGGGAGGAAAGCTCAACCCGCTCCCCTCCAAGGGGTCCCGGCGAGGGACAGCCAGGCGTGGGGGCAAAAGACTGCCCCCCATCGACCATATCCACACAATAACAAAGCTCATTGAGGTTTCTCAGGAGTTCAAGATGCCGCTCTGTTTAACGTTCATTGATTTAAAGAAGGACTTTGATTCTGGTGAGACGGAAGCGGTCATTGAAGCCCTAGCCAATCAGGGCATTCAAGCCCAATACATCAAGATCCCCCGTGAGCTGTATTGCGGATTCACTACCAGGATCTCACCATTCTACAAAGAAGTGATCGTTGATGTCAAGAGAGGGGTGCGGCAGGGTGATACCATTTCACCGAAACTCTTCAGTGCCACCCTCAAGAACATCATGCGACGACTGGAATGGGAAGGAATGGGAGTGAAGAGAGATGGTCGGCAACTACACCCCCTCCGCTTTGCTGATGACATTGTTTTAATAACACCAAACATCAGCCAAGCGGCACAAATGCTGGTCGACTTTGACCGTGAGTGTGGAAAGGTAGGACTACAGCTGAATCTTACGAAGACAATGTTTATGAGAAACAGCCTTGTTCCTGACGCCCCATTCGCTCTCAATGGAACGACCATCTCCGAATGCAACAGCTATGTGTACCTAGGTCGAGAGGTCAACATGACAAATGACCTGGCACCCGAGCTGCGCAGGAGGAAGAGAGCGGCTTGGAACGCCTTCAAGAACGTTGAAGAAATAGCTAAGAGGACGCAGAACCTCTGGCTCCGGGCACATCTCTTTGATTCCACTGTTCTTCCTGCATTAACATATGCCTCAGAGACCTGGGCCCTACGCAAACAAGATGAGAATGCCATTCAGGTCTCCCAAAGAAGAATAGAAAGAGCTATGCTTGGAATATCACGTTTCACTCAAATGAGAGAGAGAATCCGGAGTTCTGACATCCGTCGACGATCAAGAATCAGGGACACTGTCTCATTTGCCAAGGTGTCGAAAATCAGACGGGCTGGTCACGTAACGAGATTTAAAGACGACCGCTGGACTAGAGCTGTTACCGACTGGATTCCACGGGATGTCAAAAGACCGCGTGGCCGCCCACCTACCAGATGGTCAGACTTCTTCGTCAAGATCATGAACGATCGGTTTGAGGCCCTCATGTTCCCGGAGTGAACAGATGCCATTGGGCTACACTAGCACGCGACAGGGACAAATGGAGACGTTACTGGCGCCCACTCGAGCAAATCGACGACTAACGGGGAGTTAAGTGATTAAGTTAAGTGAGTGAAATATTGCCTTTCTCCTCTCCTTACGCCTTATGAACATTTTACCTTAAAGTAATATCCTTTTTGTATAGATACAGGAAGACCATTAACATCATGCATTGTAATTTAGAATTTGATTGGCTTTGAATATTATTCACTCCCGAGCATCTGCTTTCCGACTTAAGCCTCAGTTGCCCTTAGTTCCTAACACCCCAAAAGCAGGGTCCCGACGAGGGACTGAATGGACCCAGGGCAAGCGGTGAGCTACCCTGGCAACGAAATGGGCCAGGCCAAAGTGCCATGATTCTTAACTATAAGTTTGATCATAGACAAATGCTGTCATGATCCAAAAGTAACGACGAGACTAGGATCCTGCTAGGGGTGGGAAAGACTATCTGGCTGAGCATTGTAGTCTGAGATCGAGATGGCCCTAGGGGAGCCATTCTATAAGTTTAAGATATTTCTTACTGTATCCATATAAAATGGTTTATATTATATGCTTATATGCTTACATGCATTCGCGGCCGCGCGACATCTTATCAGAATATCTCATTCCTACTTTGGACAAACTTGCAGGCTATCGAATGTAGCCTGCCCACAGGGCAGAGTCTGGCAAACTCCCCGTGGCGTACCAAATATGCCAAATACCAGTAACAATGATGGGTCTCATTCTCCTCAAGAGCCTTGAATATAATCTCAGGGCTAGGATGAAAGAGACGTTACTGGGGCCTGCTCGAGGCAATCGACGATTAACAGGATGATGAAATGAAATGAAATGAAATGCTTGTCGGACAAGGAGAGGAGAGACACACCCTTGGGATTCCGCTCTAGGGCGGGTCCTCCTGCTGAGAAAGGATCTGTCCTAGGAGAGGCCTTCCCCGAGGCTAAGATTTCTACCCCTGTTGATCTCTAGACTATAAAAACCAGCTACCGGAACCTTATTATGACGTAATCTTATTATGACATCTCATTATCTCACTCCTACTTTGGACAAACTGGCAGGCTACCGAATGTAGCCTGCCCACACGGCAGAGTCTGGCAAACTCCCTGTGGCGTACCCAATATGCCAAATACCAGTAACAATGATGGGTCTCATTCTCCTAAAGAGCCTTGAATATAATCTCAGGGCTAGGATGAAAGAGACGTTACTGGGGCCTGCTCGAGGCAATTGACGAATAACAGGATGATTTGTGATTTTTGTGATTTGTGATTGATCTCTACCCCTATTGATTGTGACCGCACCTATGTGTAATTGTTCCCCCAATTCCACATGGAGAGAGGATTTAACTAGACTGTAGGAGTGGGCTGGATGTTCAGAGAGGATCAGAAGGAAGAGGAGGATGAAGGGGGATGGAGAAGGAGAGTGAAGTAGCATGGAGAGAGAGAGACGGGAGCAGAGACAGAAGCAGAGACAGACAAGAGAGACTGGTGTAGATGGAGAGAGGAATGAAATAAACTGTGACTAATACCTACCAGCCTGGCCCTCGTTTCCTTCCTCCACCTGATCATCGCCATCAACCTCCCCGGGGCAGGAGAAGGGTGAGACTACCGAACGCAGGCGGCGGGAGAGATAGAGCCACCGCCGCTGTGTGCCGTGCCCCCTACTTGTGTGAGTTTACACAGGAGCTATTTGGTTTTTATGTTTGCTTGTTTTGGGGTCATACCTGGTGATGCACAGTGGTTATTCCTGGCTTTGCACTCAGGAATTACTCCCGGCGGTGCTAGGGGGATCATATGGGGTGCTGAGGATTGAACCCGGGTGGACGGCGTGCAAGGCAAATGCCCTCCCCGCTGTGCTATCGCCCCAGCCCGCAGGAGCTATCTGTAACTGGCTGTAAACGCCTCCCCGCAAATGAACCCCCATATCCGCTCCGACCTAGAACCTCAGGAGGATCCTTATTGGACCTACGTCTGCAGACGTAACAAGGCTCAGATGTCCGGCAGACCCAGGGCGGGGCCGCATGACCAGGGTCCCGATAGAGGGAGATTCGTACACAGATGGCAGCAAGCAGAGACGGAAGAGCCCAGGATGGGCGCGAGACGGCGTGGAGATGGAGCAGAGCCCGAAGAGAAGCGTTGGAAGGCGGAGGCCGAGCCAGGAGTCTGTGAGGCGTCACCGCAGCTCTGAACCCGCCAGGGAGAGCGCGGACGGACACACAGACGCCCCATCCACCGAGCTGTGAGACGGGGTCTCTGAGGTTCCCAGTGCAGAGCCTGGGCCAGGACCGGATGCCTCAGTCCCCAGCCCACCCGCCAGAGAGGCCGCCGCTCCTCCTTCCTCCCCCGGGGCCTCTGCTCAGCCACGGCTCTGTGTGTGGAGAGACTCACGGACACATGCGAACGTATGCAATGAGCACGCCAGCACACATGTGTGCACGCACACTGAGACACTTGTACCCAAGAGTGCATGAGTGGGCTGCGTGAGCCAGCTGACGTGTGGATGCATGTGTGCATGTGTGTGCCTGTGTGGGTTTGTGCATGTGTGTGCTGCAATTGTGTGCACATATGTGCGTGTATGCACAGTGTGTGTGTGTGTGTATGTGCACCCACGAGTATGGGATGCAGGCAGGTGGGCGAGGGGAGCCTGGGGTGCCTCCAGCCCCCCACAGCACAGTGCGCACAGAATCGGGTGAGCAGAGGAACACCCCAAGGCGCCATCTGGGCACAGGGGGCCCCTCAGGGGGCCCACAGCCTGGGCGGGTGGGGGGCGCCGCACCAGTCCCTGCGGGTACCTTCTGCACGGGTGACACATCTCCGGGAAGTTCTGGTCTTTGAAGTGTTTCTTCAGGCACACGACCTCCCCTGTAAGAGAGGGAGTGGGGGACGGTCAGCGGGGGGAGGGCAGGCGGTAGTAGGTGACCCTGCTGTCAGGAGGCAGACCCCGCCGGAACCTGCATCCTGGGGCGGGGAGATGCCCTGGGTCCATGTCTCTGCCCTGGTCTACACACAGCCGATCCCGAGTCCCGCAGCCAGTGCAGCCCACCGCCAGGAGGGACCCCTGAGCACAGAGCGGGAGGAATTCCTGAGCACTCCCAAAAAAGGGCTGTAAGGGGGCACGAAACATCGCAGGCCGCACCCGCCTGACAGCAGCCCCCAGCCCCAGGCCAGCTCTGTCACACTCAGACACACAGGGGAGTGAGGGCGGCCTGGGGGAAACGCTCACTCACACTGCACACATTTTATCTTTAATAAATATTACTTTTTGGGCTACACCCAGGGCTGTACTCAGGGCTGACTCCCGACTCTGTGCTCAGGATTGACTACCGGCTCTGTGCTCAGGACTCCAGGCTCTGTGCTCAGGGTTCACTCCCAGTTATGTGCTCAGGGCTGACTCCTGGCGCTGTGCTCAGGGCTGATTCCTGGCAGGGATTCAATGACTGTACATGGTCGGGGGCATGTAGGACAGAAGCCCACTCACTGACTATCTCTCTAGCCCCTTTATCTCTGCCGAGTGAGTGGCTTCCCACTGTCCCCTCCAAAGGCCACACAGCGCCTGCGTGTTGATCCTCACGTAACTGAGCGCCCCCAGCCAGCTCTGGCCCTGGCCAGTCCACATCTCAAGTGTCTGGTTGAAGTCTCCAAGTCTGACACAGTGACTTGTATTTGCTTGGCTGTTTTAGAGGCCACACCCAGCGGTGCTCAGGGAGGACTCTTGGTGGGCTCGGGGCGGGGGGGACCCTTGGGGTACTAGGGATCTGCGGGGCAGCCATGCTCAGGGGCCGCTCTTCCCGCTGAGCTGTGGCTCCCACCCCTTTGGATCCAGTCCTGGAGATGCAGGAGGAAGTGAGCGTGGGCAGCCCCAGCCCGCCCCTCCCCTCCAGCCTCTCCCCCCATCAGGCCCTGACAAGCCTCCTGGAGAACACTCTGGCATTTCTCCTCGCATCGGGGGTTTTCCAGGGGCGCGCCCGGCTTTGCTCAGGGCTGACCCCTGGCTCTGCACTTGGGCCTCAGTCCCGGCGGTGTCAAGGGGCCAAGCGGGATGCTGGGGCTTGAACTGGGTCAGCCACGTGCAGGCACCTCCACGCTGTTGGCTCACCTCATTGGATGTGTGGTTTGCCAGATTTCTCCCCATCTCCATTTTGGTTTGACAGTTTCCAATGTCAAGGGCACCGTTTAGAGCACAGAGGCAGGGCGGAGAGATGCCGGGTCCCCGTCGTGGACACGCGCCAGCTCCCCCCTGTCCACGGCTGCCTCCTTGCTCTCCGGCAGCCCACGTGCCTCTCACCGCCCGAGGGGCTGCGCGCAGGGGGCAGGGACACGTAAAGACATGGGTGGGCCAGGTACAGGGGAGGAACATGCAAAAATACATGTGGGTCATGTACAGGGGAGGAACACGCAAAGACATGTGTGAGCCCTGTGCAGGGAAGGAACATGCAAAGACACATGTGAGCCATTTGCAGGGATAGTGATGCGCAGAGATACGAGTGGGTCATGTGCATGGGCAGGGATACACAGAGACATGTGTGCACTGTGTGCAGGTCAGGTGAGCGCTGGTGTGCATACATGTGCAGGCATGTAGAGGGCCAGCAGGGCATGGGGCTCGGAGGCCTGGGCTGTGTGTGCATGTGTGATAGTATCCAGGCGTGTTCACACAGACTGGGCATGTGATTTCTGTGTTTGTGGGTGGGTGTGCATGTGTGAGCGTGGACAGGCATGTTCACGCAGATCAGTTGTGTGTGTTCTCGTACTCACCGTATCTGAATTGCTTGCAGCAGTTGTTGCTGGAGTTGCCGGCACTAGGGAGCCCAGGGGCCTGCTAGGGCGAGAGGGGGACGGGCTTAGGGCAGGGTGGGCACGGCCCCAGGGACCTCCCCAGGGGACCCAGCCCACCCAGGCCCGCCACTGACCACCACCACGAGCATGGCCAGCACGGCCCCGAGCATCCCACAAATGAATGTGAGGAAAGGCGCCAGTGTCTGGGGCCTGGGCACACACATTCACACGCGTGTGCTCCTCTGTGCCTGGCTCCTGTTCTTCCTGCCCTTCCTGTTTCTGAGGCGCCGGGAGACAGCGCAGCCCGTGGGTCTCCGTCAGCCCCAGGACCCAGTGGCTGGAGCAGCCTTGGGGAGTTCTGGCCGGTCGGGAGCACCTGCTGCACTGAGCCTGACCTGGGAGTGGACGCCAACTGCAGGAGCCTGCCTGCGGCCCTCCTGGCCACAGCACAGGAGCCCACACGGCGGTGCTGGCTCGGGTCGACCACAGCCGCGCCAACAGGCCGACGGCCGTAGGGTCACAGCTCAGCCACTGTGGCCGCGACCTCCTCCGAGCGAACAAGAGCGCGTGGGGGCTCAGCCCCCTCCTCCTGCCGGGTCCGGCCCCCCCTGCTGCCGCCCTTCACTTGCTCCACAACACAACTTGTTCTGCCTTGTGCCAAGCCTGGCACTACACAGCGCTCTTTCTCCTGGCGCTCCGCTCAGCGGTCACTCTCGGCCCAATCAGGGACCAGGTGGGGCGCCAGGGGCCAAAGGCGAGAGCCGCCCCAACGGAGCTGTCGCTCAGGCCTGAGGGCCACAACTCAGGAGTATGCCAGGGGGGACCGGGGGCTGGCATCTGTGGAGTCCCTGGGATCAGTCCCTGAACGCGCGCACACACACGCACACACGCACACACGCGCACACACATACACAAGTACACACACATACGGACACGTACACATGCACACCCCATTCCGCCGGCCGGTTCCCAATGGGTGCCTGATTGCTCGCGCTGGGCCGGCTCCTTGTCTTCTTTCCTTCGGGGTTTGCTTGCCTCCCGCCTCCGCCCTTAGATTCTTGCCCCCTTCCCTAGAAAAGTGAATTGACTCGATGTCTAGGGTGTTTCACTAAACTTGGGGATCACTTGATTGTTGGAGTACAAGGAGCTCAGGTTTATCAGGTTGCACCCATCACAGTGCTCCCGAGTCATTCCCATTACTTTGTTTGTCTGTAACCACTTCGATGCTCTCTTCCCCAACCAATTTGTCAGGTCTCTTCCTTCTAGGACACTGAACTTGTACTGTAAGTTAATATTGCCTTTCTCCTCTCCCCATGTCTTTTGAATAGTTTAATGCAATGTCCTTTTTGTATAGACACAGGAAGACAATTAATATTATGCTTTGTAACTTAGGAGTTGATGGGCTTTGAATATTATTCACTCCTGGGCATCTGCTTTCTCAACTTAAGCCTCAGTTGCTGCTGTCACTTCCTAGCACCCCATGGGCAGGGTCCCGACGTGGGACTGGATGGAACCAGGGCAGGCCGGTAAGTTATGTGCTACCCTGGCATCGCGATGGGCCAGGCCAAGGTGCCACGATACTGAACTATAAGAGTTTGATCATAGACAAATGCTGTCATGATCCAAGCGTAACGACGAGACTAGGACCCTGCTGCTAGGAATAGGAAAGGTACCTGGCCTGAGCACTGCAGTCTGAGATCGAGATGGCCCTAGGAGAGCAATTCTATAAGCTTGAAGTATTTCTTCCTGTGTCCATACGAAATGATTTATATCATGTATGCTTATATGTTGGTCGGACAAGGAGAGGCGAAACACATCCAGGGAAATCTGTTCTAGTGTGAGTTGATCTGCTAGATGAGAATCTGCCCTAGAAGCAGTTTTCCTGTGTGTCCTGACTAGCTGGGATGAGACTGAACTTTCTCCCCTTCAAACTGCCTTCAGTAAGTGATTTCAGTATATTGAGGCAGTTTCCTTTATCTCACAGGAACCTAGCTGGTCTTAGGTATATGCAGATCCCAGGTGCTAAGCCAGGCCTGGTCTTTGGGATGTAGATGCCTGGCTCCAGGCAGGCTGATCTTGGAGATGTGGATTCCAAGCTCTAGCAGACTGGTCTTTGATGTGCTAACCCAAGTGCTTGTAGCTTGTAAAAGGATTACTGGCCTGTGGATGTAAAGAAACAATGTATGTTTTGCCTCAATGTTCTTTCTGTAACTCCCCTTGATGACATCACTATATTGCGCCCTTTAGAGGTACCATGATCTATATAAGGGAGATTTCAGGGCTCTCTGGGGACACGTGCATCAGAGAACCTGGGAAGATGGGGCTGAGGACAGAAGCGGAGAGACAAAGGCGCACGTGCTTGAGAGATCCTGGGGCCTCCATGACATACATCTCTTCCATGTAATAAACTGCTGCTAAGACCAACCAGCCTGGCTCGCGTTTCCTTCCTTCGCCTGACCATCGCCATGACCTCGACCTCCGTGGAGTGGGGAAACGGCCTGAGACTCCCGAACAAGGTCGGCACAAGGGCGGCGGGATAGGCCCTTGCCCGCCCTTCTTTGTGTGTTTACACCCTTGATCACTTGACATCCTGTTCCTCATCGATTTGCTCGAGCAGGCACCAGTAAGGTCTCCATTCGTCCCTGTCGCTGCTAGTGTGGCCCAATGGTGCCTGCTTGTTCTAGGAATGCAAAGACTCTCAAACTGATCATTCAGGGACTTGACGAAGAAGTCTGACCATCTCGTAGGGAAAATGAAAATGAACTTCGGGAAAATGAAGCAAAAAAAAAAAGTACCAAAATAGGGGCTGGAGCAATAGCACAGAGGGTAGGGCGTTTGCCCTGCACGCAGCCAACATGGCCGACACAAGTTCGATTCCCAGCATCCCATATGGTCCCCCGAGCACCGCCAGGAGTAACCCCTGAGCATCGCCGGGTGTGACCAAAAAAGCAAAAGCAAAAAAAAAAAAAGTACCAAAATAATCTAAACAAGAAAATCGAGTTGTGCGCATGCTTGAATATTGACCTGGATCCACCAGTTAGTTCTCTGGGCCAGGGAGAAGGATTAGGCCACAGGTGTCACCCTGCACACACGAGGACAGAGACCCACGCCAGGTCCATCTGAGTCCAGCCCAGATCCATCAAGATCCACTTGGGATCCAGCCCAACAGATTCCAGATCCTCTGTGAAACCGACTCTGGACCCATCCTGGATCCGTCTGAGCAGAGTGTGGCCCCAGCAACCCCAGGCCGTGTCCTGCTGGGAGGGTCCTGGGGCCCCCCAGCCTGATGGTCATTTCCGGGCTGCAGGTCACACAGGGGTTAAGGCAGCCGCTTTGCCTGTGGCCGTGCCTGGTTTGACCATGTGTGGCTCCCGGGCCGGGTCACTCCCCACATGTCCAAGTATCCACCCCGTCTAGGTGGTGGGGGCCGTGTCGCCACTCCTTCCTCCTCCCCCAGTCAGTGCCTGGGTTGGGGTCCCCTCAGTCCATGCCCCCATCAGCGCGGCTTCTTCCGGCAGTCAGGGGCACTCTGGTGCTGAGGGGGCGGCAGGGTCCCTGCAGGGAGTGGGCACCGGACTTGGTGCCAGGCACTTGGGGACAGCAGCTTTCCCTCCAGGCCATCTATGTTCCTGCGTGCTGGACTTCAGCCCCAGAAACGCAAATAAGGAAATCAACTAAACTGAAAAGCATCTCTGCAAGAGCAGCTCGGGCTTTTTGTCTGGGGCCCACCCCTGGCTCTGCTCTCAGGGTCACGCAGACAGGAGCAGCATCCTTGCAGGACAGGGAGAGAACCCGGGTCAGCCCGGGCGAGGCCAGCACCGTCCCCTGCTGGCTCTCCCGCCCCCGACTCCTAACGCATCACAGACACCCACTGGGGACCAGGACCAGACGCCACCGCCGGGGGGAAGGCTTGACTGGACGGGGACAGTAGGAAAATGTAAAAAAAGCACATGACTTGGGGCTGGAGCGATAGCACAGCGGGCAGGGCGTTTACCTTGCATGTCGCCAACACGGCAGACACAGGTTCATTCCAGCATCCCATATGGTCCCCCAGCATCGCCAGGAGCGGTTCCTGAGCGCCGACTCCCGCGCGCGCCGCCCCCGCAGCCAGACCTGGCGCGGAGCGGCGCCTGGAGCCCGCACTCACCGCCAAGGCGCAGACGCCCCCAGCCCCGTACCCACCGTCGCTATGAACAGCAGCAGCAGCGGCGGCAGCAGCCACAGCCGGCCGAGAAGCCCGAGAAGCCGAGGCATGGCCCGACCTGGGACGAAAGCGCGAGGGGAGGCATCGCGGAGCAGAATCCGTCCGCGAGCGCCGGCGGTATTTATAGTTCCGGTACCGATGGCCACGCCCCCGCGCCCCGGCCTCCAATAGCATCAGGCCACGCCCCTGGCCCCGCTAGGCCACGCCCCGTGAGCGTGAGATCTCGGCCGAGCCCGCTAGGCCACGCCCCGACCGCGCGGCCCCACCCGGGCAGCACCAGGCCAAGCTCCCCCTAGGCCCAGCTCAGGGTGTTGCCGCCACCCACCACCCAAGCGTTCTTGCCCTGCAACGTTCTTGCCCTGCAACACTCCTGCAGCTACATCAGAGTAGTGACTTTCATCACTTTGTTTTGGGGGCACACTCAGTGGGGTGGTACGCAGGGACCCTTCTGTTGTGAGTCGTGGCACAGGCGTCGAGGTGGCAGGTCCCTTGTCCCTCCCCGCTGCCGAGGACCCCTGCGTCTCCTTCCCTTCCTGCTCTTCTCCCCGTGTGCGAGGTGCGACTGTCCCTTCCTCTGCCCTGCTGCCACTGGTTTTAGATGTATTGGAGGCCCTGGAGCTCAATCACTCGGATATGCCTGGGACCTGGCTATTTCCTGTTTTTTTTTTTTTTTTGCAAAGTCTCTAGAATGGGACCCCTCGACTGGGGCACTTGGGGGCTCCAGCTGTGAGGTCCCCCTCTGCGCGGCAGCATCTGAGAGCAGGTTGGAAGCTCAGATCTTCAGAACATCAAAAACTTTAGAAAAATGAGATTTACGAGAAAGGAAATCCACAGCCCAAAGGGACTCAACACTCGGGGGCCTCCACCCGCCAGGCGCGCCTGGCCTCCAGTCTCAGGTCTTCGGGTCTGCAGTGTCTGCAGAGCCCTGAGGCACAGGGCCCGCCCGGGGCCCTCTGTCAGATGGATTATTTCTCTCCTCTTGGCGGTGACAAAAGTGAGCGCACACAAGGCAGGTGCACATCCTCCCCCGCCCGGCCCCACACCCACCTGACTCCCCTGACTCTCAGGAAGGGACCCAGTCCGTGCCTTCCCGCCACACTACCTCTGACACAGCAAACAAAAAGAGGCCTCTTTTTTTTCCCCGTTTTAGTTTTTGGCCACAACCAGCAGAGACGGTCAGGGCTCACTCCTGGCTCTGCTTGTGGCTGGGGATTGAACGCAGCCAGGTGAGCCGCGTGCAAGGCAAGTGGCCACCCTTGTACTATGTCTCTGGCCTGCACTAGCTCTGAGGCAGTGGACATTCTGGGCCCTCTCGCAGACCCGGGCATGGCCTCCTCACCTTGAGGTGGGCTAGGGCATGCCTTGCCCTGTAGCCCTCTCACTGTGGGGCAGCTGATCCTGGGCTGCATGTTTGGCCCCTGGGTCCACCCTCGTGGGAGCAGCGGGCAGAGACCAGGCCAGGTCAGGGAAGGGGCCCAGACACTCGCCTCACGGAACAGCTTGGGGACAGCTGTCACCAGCACCCTAGGGACAGTGGGGTCTCCTGCAGGGTCTGCCCATGCACCAGGGTCGGAGAGCAGGGGTCACAGTGTGAAAACACGCCTGACCCCCACCCTGTGTCTGGGCTGAGGTTAGAGCCAGATTCCTCGGACAGAGGGAGAGGTGTGCTGGACTGGGGTGACGCGGTACTTGGGGCATTCGGGCCCCACCCGGGCCCCCGAGGCTAGCGCCCCTCAGTCCGTGCAGGGCAGGACTCGGGCAGGGGCTCCGAGGGCTGGGGGCCCAGGCCAGGGGCTTTCTCCCAACTGTACTGGCCCAGCTCACGTGCCCCATTGCCCAGAGTCTTGGTGTCTCACTCCCTCACTTCCTGCCTGCCAGTCATCTCCCAGGCCCCTCGGCCTGGAGGGCAGTGCCCTTGTGTGTACAGCAGTTGGACACTCTCTGCCCAGGCCTTCCACACTCCTCAGCCAGTGGTCATGGCTGGGGCGCACCCGTGGGTGAGTCTGCGTCCACGGCGCCAGCCTAGCCCCCGGCCAGTGCTCCTGAGGCTGGCGGGAGCCCAGGCCTTGGCAGCTGGACCTCCATTGGGGCAAGGCCATCCTTAGTCTCAGCGTTTTGTATCTCGGAAGGAACCTGGAGTTGAAAGGGGTCTGCAGGGGCTGGAGTGGTAGCACAGTGGATAGGACGTTTGTCTTGCAGGCGGCCGACCTAGGTTCGATCCCCAGCATTCCATATGGTCCCTTGGGCATCGCCAGGAGTGATTCCTGAGTGCATGAGCCAAGAGTAACCCCTGTGCATCGCCAGGTGTGACCCAAAAAGAAAAAAAGAAGCAGAAAGAAAGAAAGGGGTCTGCACACACGGCAATTTAAAGGGATTGAGCTGGAGTTTTGCTCTCAGTACTGTTCTTTTTTCTTTCTTTCTTTCTTTTAATGTAGGAGTACTGCTCTTTATTCAGACAATGATGAAGCTGATTGAATTGGGCATGAACTCAATTACTTTTTTTCTTAAGTCGAATCACTGTGAGACACAGTTACGAAGCTTTCATGTTTGAGATTCAGCCATACAATGATCAAACGCCCATCCCTCCATCAGGGCACATTCTCCACCACCAGTGTCCCCAGTATATCCCCCACCCCCATCCCAGTCCTCACCCTGCCTCCATGGCAGACAATTTCCCCAGTATTCTCCCTCTACTTTGGGGCATTATGTTTTGCTCGAATTTTTCCACCACCATTTAGGCCTGCCTGCCAGGGGCAGATGCTAGATCATTTATTTTCCTTTTTTTTTTTTCTTTTTGGGTCACATCCAGCAATGCTCATGTGTTACTCCTGGCTCTTCACTCAGGAAATACTCCTGGCGGTGCATGGAGGACCATATGGGATACTGGGAATCGAATCCAGGTCGGCCATGTGCAAGGCAAACACTCTACCCGCTGTGCTATCGCTCCAGCCCCAGGATCATTTATTTTTCCATTGCTTGTTTTACATATTCATGGCAGCCACGTGCTTCTGAAATTCTAAGATTGTACATGGTTGGGTTCCAGAGACAGCTCTAGAAGGAGCTATTCCATTTTGGGATCCAGTTGGGAATTGCTGACCCCGAGCATTTGGTGGTTGTGGGCATGGCATCCAGTATCAGGAGTGTGCTGGGAGCCAGGGTGACACTGCCCGGCTCTGCTGCCACCATGCTGCTTGGAGACTCAGTCCTGGAACCTGCATACTTGGGCCTGGCTTGTGGAAGTTCATGGCTGCCAGGGTTCCATCTGGAGAAGGCGGGGAGTCTGCACCTGCTCTGTCTGGGTGCCCTGGGCAAATCAGCTCGGTGTGGGGCCCAGAGAGATCTCCGGCGCTGTGGTGCCCTCCAGCACTCACTGCTATGTTCGCCAAGATGCCCAGGGGTCTCAGGCTACTTTACGGAACCTCTGCCGAGCCGCCTAGTGCCACCCTCACAAACACAAATGTGGGCCGGTCACCAAGGTCCAAGTCTGTTGCTGGGGTGGCTGAAGTGTGTGGAGTTGGGAGCAGCTGATGGTTATTTTTGAAATTACTTTCCTGGCCTTTGTTCTGTTGGAGCTTCTCTTGGAGGGGGCGGGGGTCCCGCCTCCCCAGGGGCTGCGCTGGGGTCGGGTGCAGATCTGATCCAACCTAATTCCTGTGCCACCGGTGGGCTTTCTGCAGCCTGGGGGTTACTGATGGCCTCCCAGGAGTTCCATTGCCATGCAGTCCCTTACGGAGCCACCTGCCTGCCCAGAGGGGCGCGTGTCGGCCAGTCACTGCCAATGATGGGGACCCTCGTGTCCCTTCCCTGGTGGGGGGTGTCAGCCTCAGAGCAGGGCTCATCTTTGTTCACTGGTAATTCCAAAGGACGCCCTTCTCTCCCCACGATGCCCACTGCCTGGGTCACACGAGCATGGACCATGGCACTAACTGTGGAAATACAGTCTGGGAGGCTGAAACGGGCCAGTGGCCCTTGGGGGTTAGAGAGACAGCACCTCGCAGACGCGCCTGCCTGGGATCAATCCCCAGCACCTGGGGCAAGCCCTGAGCACAGCTGGGAGTGACCCACCTCCCCACAAGCCAACAATAAAGAAATGGGAGCCCCCACTTTCTAAAAATCACAGACGCCTTTGGGGAGGGGAAGGGGAAGAGAAGGGGGAGGGGAAGGGGAGGAGGAGGAGGCGGGGAAGCAGACCCGGATGAATGTCCCTACCTGCAGGTGGCTCTGTTCTGACTGCTTCTGCTTTGTGTGTGCCCCCGGGATGGGACCCGGGGCCTCGCACACACTGGGCAAGGGGCCCCGTTGTGACCCGTCCCGGGGCCTAACGCCTCTGCACCGCTCTGGACTCTGATACACCTCTGCAGGGCAGTCCGGTCAGCACGAGTGACAGCGGCGCCCTGGACTCGACCTTGGAGCTCCAAAGGCATCCAATCAACCAAGAGGAGGGGAGAGGAGGGCCCGCTCCGCCGGGCGGGACTCGGCTCACCGCCCGCCTCCTCCTCCGCTCCCGCTGCCCGCCCCAGGCTCCGCCCGAGAGCTCCGCCCCGCCCCGAGTCCCCGCCCACAGAGTCCCCGCCCCGTAGCTTAGCGCCCGCAGCCCCGCCCCAGGCCCCTCCCACGAGGGCTCCGCCCCGCCCACAGTCCTCGCCCAGGTAGCCTAGATCCTGCAGCCCCGGCCCGGCCCCGCCCAGAGTCCCCGCCCCGCCCACAGAGTCCCCGCCCCGCCCACAGCCCTCGCCCCGTAGCTTAGCGCCCTCAGCCCCGCCCCAGGCCCCGCCCCGAAGGTTCCGCCCCGCCCACCATCCCGGCCCGCCCCGCTCCCTCCCCCCCACCGCACTGCCCAGCCTGGGTTCCTGCCAAGCGTCCTCGAGGCTTGTCCCAGCTCCCTGCCTGCCTGCAGCCCCGCGCCGCCGCCTCGTACCCACCTGTGCCCCGAGCAGCGGCCCGAACGTCCGTCCCTCTGTGTCGCGCCTGTTCTAGGCTATTACCGCGGGGCGGGTCGCAGGTCGGAAGCTCGCGCTTTGTAGCGGCTCCCCCAGACTCAGTCTCCTGAGCTGCTGTGTGTGTGTGTGGGGGGGGGGGGTCGTGGCGGATCGGAGGGCTTCGTGGGGACTCTCCATGCGGCGACAGGAACGATCAGGGACAGTCAGCGGGCTCCCACCCTGATCTCTGGCACCCCCACACACTGTCCACCCCACTGGGGAATGAGAGCCTGACCCACTGCTCAAAGCTCCGCCCAGGGCTTAGGGGCTTGGAGCTCAATCCCGGCTCTGTGTTGAGGTCATGCCCGGTGGCACTCAGGTATCACCCCAGGCTCTGTTCAGGGTCACGCCTGGTGGCACTCAGGGATCACCCCTGGCTCTGTGCTCGGGGTCACGCCCCGTGGACTTGAGGACCAGGTGGGGTGCGGGTATCAAACCCAGGTTTCCCCATGCAAAGCAAGCACCCTGCCTCCTGTGCAATCTCGACCCCCATCAGTCACTAGTTTTTCTGGGGGGTGGGGCCATACCTGGCAGTGCTCGGGGCACATGCAAGGCAAGTGCCTCACCCCTGCACTGTCTCGGGGCTCCTGAGGCAGCCGCTGCCCCCCACCCCCCAGCTTCTGGGTTCAGACCTTTGGGACATGTCCAGCTACCGACACTCTCCAACCCACCATGACCTTCCCCGGCACAGACCCCCGCCCACTTCCTGAACCCCCCAAGGTCACTGCAGTGTGTGTATTTCTACGTCTAGAACCGGGTCATGGACTTGGACTAGAAGGTGGAACAAGAGCAAGAACAGAGGCTCACGCGTGTGCACATGCACACACACACATGCTCTCACAAGGCACCTGCTCACATGTGCTCTCACTGCATACACAGGCACACGTGCTCTCACGTACACCGGCACACACGTGTTCACACACACATGCACATCCACATGCTCTTACACATGTGCACACAAGTACTCTCATGCACTCACACAGACACACATAGGCACATGCTCACACATGCTCTCGTGTGTACACACATACACATACACACAGGCCCACACGCACACCAGCCCAGGACACGGGGACAGAGCTGAGACGCGGCGTGCAGCTGCCTACAATACCGTGATCGCGTTTATTACAAAAGTGTAAAACTGGAAGGCCCAGGCGGGGGTGGGGGGCGCCGAGTGGAGGGTGACCCTGGCCTGGACCCGGCCACCCAGCCCCACCGCACCCCCGGGCTGGGGGAGACGGGGCTCTCTCAGGTGATCCCCAGCTCTGAGCACACCAGCGGCCCGGAGCCTCGGCAGCCGGCTCAGGGGCCCTGACAGCTGCCGGTGTCTCGTAGCCGTGCTCAGAGGCCGCCCTGGGACGGGGGCTGTGAAGGAGGCGCTGGGGACACCAACCACGTCACTGTCATTTGGCTTTAGCATTAAGGCCGCGCGGGGACAGGGTCTGCAGGGGCCATGCGTCTCCCTGTCCGAGGAGGGGCCGTGGGGGCCCCGGTGCCGCCGTGGCCGGGTCGCTGCCTCCACGGGCGGCTGAAAGTGCGGGTGCCGGGGAGGGGGTGGCCGTGGGCCCTACTTGAGCAGGTAGGTGAGCAGCAGCTGGCAGGCCAGGAGGACGCAGAGCAGGATCCAGGAGCGCGCGCTGTGCAGGAGGGCAGGCGCGGGGCTCGGCTGCCGCAGGCAGCTCAGCATGAAGGCCAGGTGCCTGCAGCCACAGACAGGGGCTCGCCGGGTGCCCACCCGCCCACCCCCTCCCCGGCTCTCCCCCCTCCTGACCCCGGGCCCTCTGCCGCCAGGATGCCAGCCCAGCGCCAGCTAGCCGCCTGCCCCACGTCCCCAGGACCCGGCAGCCTGATTTATTTTTGTGGGGGAGTGGGCATCCCCGACCATACTCAGGGGTGATTCCTGGCTCTGCGCTCCGGAATTCCTCCTAGCGCCGCTCAGGGGAATGTAAGGGATGCCGGGGATCGAACCCGGGTAAGGCACATGCCAGGCAAACGCCCTCCCCACTGTCCTATCGCTCGGGCCTCACCCAGGAGGCCTGAACCGGACTAACCAGTGTGGATCTGCCCGGGGGCCTCCCCATGGAGCCCCTCTGTGGGGATCTACCCGTGGCGATCTGTAGGGCTCTACCCATAGGGACCCACCAGTGGGGATCTACCCGTGGGGATTTGTGGGGCTCTACCAATAGGGACCCACCTGTGGGGCCCTACCTATGAAGGTCGTGGGGATGTACCCATGGGGACCCATCTGAGGGGATCTACTTGTGGGGACCCACCCATGGGGAGCTACCCATGGGGATCTGTGGGGATCTACTCATGGGGACCCATCTGAGGGGATCTACCTGTGGGGATCTGAGGGGATCTACCCACGGGGATCTGTGGGGCTCTACCCGTGGAGACCCGTGCACAGGACCCACCTCTGCAGCTCCTGCTGGGTCTCCTGCATGGACAGGACAGCCTCATGCAACACCTGTAGCTGCCGCGTCTCCTTCCTACACCGTGGACATGGGCTCGGGCCACCTGGGGCGGGCGGGGGGGCACAGGCCAGCCGTCAGAAAGTGTGTGTGGGGGGGTCCAGGCTCCCCCCACTGCAAAGTCTTACGGGCAAGACAGCCAGGGGGGCGTCCCAAGTCCACGGCCTGTCCCTCGCGGTGGGGACGGGGCCTCTGGCACCACCCAGCCGGCCCACGGGGCTCACCTTGAGTGAAGTCGCTGCCCTCGTCCGACTCAGGCGTGGACATGCTGCTGTCCGTCCCCTGGCTGTGGCCCGAGGGCTGGTCACTGACCTTGCGGAGCCGCTGCTCCGAGCTGGTTCTCTGCGAGAGAGGGAGGTCGCTGGGCTGGGGGACAGCTGCGCCGCAGGCCGCTCCGGGGGGCAGTGCCCGGGGCTCAGCTCCCCAGCCTGCAGTGGCCGCGATCACAGCCCGCCCCGGGTCCTTCTGCGTCCTGCCCATGGTGGCCGTGAGCTCTGAGGCCCTGTCCCTGGGCGGCGTGGGGGATACTGTGTGAGTGTGGAGGGTACACCTGCTGGTGGTACCCATGAGGACGTTCTCGCCACGCTGGTCCCGGACCCTGGGGTTCCTGACCCGGGAGGCCCCAGCTCACCTCCTCCGCCCCATTTCCACTTTCCTCCTCCCCTCCCCCTTCCCTGCTCCCCTCCTCTCTCCTCCCTCCCCTTCTTCTTTCCCTCCCCTCGGCCCCCTTCTCCTCCCTTCCTCTCCCTCCCTCCTCCCCTCCCCCTTCCCTGCTCCCCTCTTTCCTCCTGCCCCCCTCAGCCCTCTCCAGGGTAGACTCTGCCTCTTCCTACCTGGGCTGGTCCCCGGGGAGCCCTGAACCTCATTTTTCTCATCTGTAGAAGGAAAGAGCGTGCCAACGCCCTAGGGCAGCTCCTGGCAATGCTCGGCCTTGGGGCATCCCGTGTGGGGGTTGCCATATTGGGGGCCCCCACCCGGGCAGCAGGGTTGGGGGCAGCGGAGGTGTGGGTCCGAGGAAGCACAGCGCAGGGCTGGTGCCCGAATCTGCAGCCTAAGTGTCTCCCTGGGCGGAAGCTGGTGGCGGGCCCAGTGCTGACCTTGTGCCGGCGGCCAGGGCTGGCCGGGGTGCGTCCCTGGTGGGCCGGGGTCCCCCGCTGCAGCGTGTGCAGTGCCCCGTCGCGTTCAAACTGGGCCACATCCTTGCGGGGGTCCCAGGGCCGGTAGCTGCGGGCAGAGAGCACGGGCTGAGGCTGGGGGGGGAACGTTCCCCCACCCCACCCCCGCGCGTGCCCCCGGGTCCCCACTCACTCACTTCTCGTGCTGGTAGCGCCACTCGCGGGTGGCGGGGTCCAGCTGGAAGAGCCTGGGCGCCCGGGGCCGCCTCTGCGCCTCCTCCAGCGACAGCTTCTCCCGCGCCGCGCGCAGCTGGTCACCCTCGCAGATGGCCCTGGTCACGTGCTGCCACAGCCTGCGGGGGGGGGGAGGGGGTGTGAGCTGGACCACCTGCAGCCCCGCCGTCCACCCGCGGTGGGACAGCATCCTGCTGGCCTCACCTCTCGGACTCCAGCTCCGTCTGCTCCTCGGGCACCACCACGCGCCGTGTCAGCCGCCGCCGCTGCCCCTCGCTGGGGCTCCAGAAGAGCTCCGCGCCCCGGCCCTCCTCCCGGATGAACACGTCTCGGTCCTGGGGCAGGCAGCGCCACGGTTAGCGCCCTCCCAGCATCCAGGGTGAGAGGTCCTCCCAGTGCCTCCGGTCAGTGGCCCTCCTCAGAGCCCACGGTCAGGGCCGCCTCCCCAGCATCCACGGCCAGTGGCCCTCTCTGCGCCCATGACCAGAGCCCCTGCCAGCATCCCCAGTCATTGCCCCCTCCCCAGCACCCATGGTCAGCACCCTCCCTGTGCCCATGGCCAGAGCCCCCCCCCCCCAGTCCCCCAGTGTCCACAGTCAGCGCCCCTGTCCCTACCCAGTGTCCCGTGAGCCGCGCCAGGACCTCATCCCCTGACCGGATGGTGCCCACGATCTGGTTGATGTTGGCACTGCTCCCGAAGAAAGGCTGTGGGCGAGGGCAGAGCGTGGAGGGGCTCCCCTTCGGAGGGACCCCCAGGCCCGGCCAGGGCGTGTGCGCGGTACCTTCAGCTTGAACTCCAGGTCGGCCCGCAGGCGCGTCTGCTGACACTCCACGGTGACGTGGCCGCCCAGCTCCAGGCTCAGCGTGCCGTACAGGATGCCTGGGACAGGGGCCACGCTGAGCCACTGCCCCGTGGACCCTCCCTGGGAGCCCCACCCCTGCACGCTGACCGGCCGGCAGCCTGGGCTGGCCACGTCCTTTGATTTCTATTAACTCATATGTCTACAGGGTGTCACTCCCGGGGGCCCACCCTGGTGCTGGGGACGGCCCGGGTGAGCTGGGTCCGAAGTGCTCTCCACTGGGCTAGTTCTTCTGCCCCCTCTGATTTTTCTAATAGTTCTGGGGGTTTTGGTCACACTGGGCAGTGCCTGGGGGCGTATGTGGTGCTGAGTTCCTTGACCCAGTGCACTCCTGGCCTGTGGTCAGGCCTCTGAGCACCCTCTCCCTAAAGGAGAGAGGGTGTGTGTGTGTGGGGGGGGTGTGAGTGCTTGAGAAGCTTCCGCCCACTAGAATGGGGATCAGGCCCAGAAGTGACGGTTCCCATCATGGAAAAGGGAGCTTCATGGTCAACTCACCAGAAAGCCCTAGAGAGAGACACTGACCCTTGCTGGCCCCCATGCCCCCGACATTCCTCCTGGGAGGAAACCTGGGCTTGCAGGGGGTGCGGGTGGGACACAGGACCTTGAGTGGGCGGCCCTGGGGCAGGCCAGAGCCCTGGGTTCCGGTCAGCCGGTGAGCTCTGGTCAGCCGGCCGGGCTGCAGCAGGGCGGGCACCCACCGGGGCAGCAGAGAGGGGCAAGGGGACAGAGAAGCAAAGGCCAGGGCCCTGACTAGCGGGGCGGGGGGGGGGGGGGGGCGCTCACCTCGGCAGTGGGCGTAGGGCATGGTCAGCGTGTATTCCTCTGCCCGCTGCAGGAACCTGAGCGTGGCCTTGCCGTCTAGCACTGCCGACAGAGAGTTCCCTGCAGGGAGGGCGGTGGCCATCAGCACCCGTGGGCGCCCCCCAAGGCTCCCCTGGGCGCCTTTACTTGAGGGGAGCTGGGCATCCCCCCCCCTAGCTGGGTGACTGCAGGCGGGGTCTGGACCTCTCTGGGCCAAGCAGGGTAGGATGCGGGGGTAGTCCTGGTCCTCCCCTCACAGAGGGGCCAGCCTTCAGTCCCCACGGAGACCCTGAGCGGCTGGGACGGGAGGGATGTGCAGCCAAGCTGAGCCCTCACCCCAGGGACCCCCAGAGCCCCTCACCGTAGAACCGGGACTTGGCAGTGACGCTGCCGCTGAGGCAGAAGCCGTCCTTGCGGTTACTGACGTGGAAGGCGGATACGGGTGGGTGGTGGGACACCTGTGGGCACAGAGGGCCTGAGTGGCCACGCGTGGGAAACCCCGCAGTGGACAGGAGCCCCACCCATCCCTGCTGTCCTGGGAGGCCGGTCGTGAGTCTCAGGCTGAGAGAGGACTGAGTCAACCCTGGGCCACCCAGAACAGCCCGGCCCAGCCCAGCCTGGCCCTGCCCGCCCTTGCCTGCTCAGCGATGTAGAAGGTGTGACTGTTGGTCTGGGGGTGGAACCAGCAGCAGCGGAAGGTCTCCCCCAGGATCGGGTTGTAGGGCTTCTTGATCCCCTGCAAGCAGCGGGCAAAAGAGCTGTGAGGAAATGGGGGCCTGGGGCCCCTGGGGAGGAGAGTGGGCTAGGGAGCAAGGAGGGGCAGTCAGGTGGGACGGTCTCGCCCCAGGAGGACAAAGGAAGGAGAGGCCCCGCCCCTGGGAGCAGGCAGGAGGGACAGGCCCCGCCCCCGAGAGGAGACAGGAAGGACAGGCCCCGCCCCTGGGAGGAGACTGGAAGGCTAGGCCACGCCCCTGGGAGGAGATGGGAAGGACAGGCCACGCCCCTGGGAGAGGAGACAGAAAGAACAGGCCCCACCCCTCCCTGGGAGGAGACTGGAAGATCAGGCCACGCCCCTGGGAGGAGACAGAAAGGACAGGCCCCGCCCCTGGGAGGAGACTGGAAGGCTAGGCCACGCCCCTGGGAGGAGATGGGAAGGACAGGCCACGCCCCTGGGAGAGGAGACAGAAAGAACAGGCCCCACCCCTCCCTGGGAGGAGACTGGAAGAACAGGCCACGCCCCTGGGAGGAGACAGAAAGGACAGGCCCCACCCCCGGGAGGAGACTGGAAGAATAGGCCACGCCCCTGGGAGGAGACTGACGGGCTAGGCCACGCCTCTGGGAGGAGATAGGAAGGACAGGCCACGCCCCTGGGAGGAGAGCTTGCTCCGCAGAGGCCCCCCCCCCCACACCGGTGGTTGCCGCATCCCCGGGAAGCGCGTCTCACGCTTTGGGCGCACACCAGCTCACAGGAGGAGCAGCCTACTTCTCTCTGGGTTCCGAGGATGAGGCCCTGACGGGCTCCACGCCCTGGACTCGGCCCCGAGGACCGTCTAAGGATGACCCTGACCCTCTTTCCTGCTCTCCTGCTCCATCCTTTCCGCGTCCCCTCTGTCGTCCCAGTGGCCCCCGTCTCCATGGCAGGGGACACCTTCCCCGTCCTATCCCCTTCCCTTCTGCCTTCAGCTGTCTGTGCCTGTTGGCTCGCCCTGGAGCCTGCAGTGCAGCGTGGGCTCCCGAGGGACACCCACTGGGGTCCTGAGCTGCTTCTGCAGATGCTGCCTTCCCCTCTGCCCCCTTGCTCGCGGGTCTGTCCCTGAGCTGCTCCTGCACCTCCTGTCCTGTCCCCACGGCCCTTGGGATGCAGCCACGTCCTCCGAGAAGTCCTCTGGACTGCCTCCTCTGCTGGGTCAGCCCGCAGACCCAGCATGACTAAGTGTGTGCGCGCCTGACTTGTCAAAGGTGAGCAGTGGGGACACTGCACGAGGAGCCCCAGAGCGGGTCAGGAGAACTGCCCTGTGACTCTGGGGCTGGGCTTCTGCCTACCTGGGCCTCAGTTTCCCTGTCTGCACCATGGAAAGGTAGAGCCAGCCTTGTGGTTCCAGGGCTCCATGGTGGGGTCTGGGGCAGGGATGGGGGGGATGTGGGGTTCCAGACCAGAGAGGCCTGTGATGGGCTGTGGGGGCTCATGGGGTGCTCAGGGAAGGTTTCCAGGCCCCTCAGGGTCGGGGGAAGGGGCAGGTGGAGGCGACGTGGGGAGGGGCTGGCCCCGGATGGGGAGGGGGCTCCCTGTGCCTCACCTTGGGCTTCTTGTAGAAGCCGGACAGGTACCAGCGCAGAACGTGCTTGAGACGGCTGTACGGCTTCTCTTCCTGGGCGGCCCTGGGGGGAGACGCGGCTGCTGGCCGGGACCCCCGCTCCCCGCCAAGGGCACAGGGCTCGGGCCACAGGGGTGCCGGCGCTGGAGAGGGGGGCCCCCGGGACGTGCTCCGGAAACCTCCGGGGCCAGGGCACCCCAACTTTCGCCGCCTGGGCTCCCCGGCGCACCCCAGCTCACCGGGACAGCAGGTCGGCGTGGTGGTAGTGGTCGGCCAGCCGGGAGAGGAAGGAGCGGGGCTCCAGCACGAAGGTGGGCAGCGCCACACGCGACAGGTCCATGCCCGGACGCAGCTGTCGCAGCAACAGCCACAGGAAGCTCTTGCTCTCCTCCGACACCGCCTCCACCTGGCTGTCGGGGACCGGCTGCGGGGCGGGGGACCGGGATGACTCAGGTACCCTCCCATCGGGGCCCTGCCCCCGCGGCTTCCAAAGTGACCCCCAGTCGCGCTGCCCTGACCCCTGTTCACCCGGGCATGTTGTCAGCCCCTGTCCACCAGAGGGAGCCACAGAGCTGCAGGAAGGGCCGGGCCCTCCCGGGGAACCCCATCTTCCTGCTGTCAGGACGCGGGGCGGAGGGCTCTCTGTGACCCCCGGCCTCATGCCTGGGGTGTGGATGGACCCGGCAGGAAGTGAGCTCAGGGGGCCGGAGCGAAAGCCCAGCGGCTAGGGTGTCTGTCTTGCATGTGGCTGACCCGGGTTCGATCCCTGGTATCCCATATGGTCCCCCAAGCACTGCCAGGAGCAATTCCTGAGTGCAAAGCCAGGAGTAACCCCTGAGCATTGCTGGGTGTGACCCAAAAAGCAGGAAAAAAAAAAAAGGAAGTGGGCTCAGAACGCACCCCGCCCCCCTGCCCCCCAATGGAGCCCCGAGGTGGAGATGAACAGTGTTCTCGGTGGGGGCAGCAGAGGGGAGGTTGGGCCTGCCCTGCCCCGCAGGACAGCTCAGGGACAGGGAGCCTGGAGGGGGCCAGCTGGTGATGGCCGGTTCGGGGTCACCCTGTCTTCCTCCCCGTCCATGGCGACTCCTCTGAGACCCTGACCCGACTTCGCCACGCGCTGTTTTCCTGGGCCTCTCTCTGAGCACTCCTGTGTGCAGCCCAGGACTGAGGTGCTGGGCCCAGACTCCCACCTGCGGCCCCTCTCCAGGTATCCTGACTCTGAGACCCCCACAGTCCTGCCCCCTGAGTTCCCACCGGATCCTTCTCCGGAGGGACCCCACATCCTGGCAGTGACTTTGGGGTGCTTCCAGAGCCCTGCTCCCCGTCCCCAGCAGGGCCTTCCTGCCACACCCTGCCCCCCAACAGCTTCCTGACTCCCAGCCCGGGCAGTGTGGACCCCCAAAGGCTGCCGGGGCGCACCTCCTGGAGCTCCTCCGCCTGCTCCACGTACGTGGTCCCCATGCACACAGCGCCCCCCGGCGGGTCCACCTGGTCACTTCTGCTCTCGGTCTCGGTCTTCGGGCAGCGGCTGTCAGGGGTCTCGGTGTCCAGGTCCGACTCCTCCGCGTTCTCTCGCTCCGACTTGTCGGAAAAGGCGTCGTTGTCCAGGGACGAACCGTTCGTCCTGCGGGGCGTGGGGACGTGGGTCGCTGAAGCCCCTGCCCCTGTCCCCCGGCCTCCTTCTGCATGCACCCCTCGGCCCGGATGGACAGACGGGCCTGGAGGTCGGGGCTGCCATGCTGGGAGACCCCAGCCCGTCCCCCGCAGCACCCCGGGCCCGCTCACGCGAACAGGTCCTGGTCGGCGTGGATGGAGGCGGAGGCGGGCAGCCCGCAGAGCGAGGTCGGGGAGGCGTCCGGCGAGGACCCGGGCTCCCCGTCCCGGCTCTGCCGGCTGGCGCTGAGGTGCAGGAGGCTGGAGCAGCGCAGGGCCAGCTCCAGGGCGTCCAGCCAGCAGCGGCCTGCGGGGACACGGGGCCCGGCTCAGGACCTGGCAAGCTTCGGTCCTGAGCTGCCTCCGAGGGAGCCGGACCCGGACCGACCCTCAGTCTCCGCCCTCCCACACCCTGGGATCTGGCCCCGCCCCACTGGGATTCTAGCCCCACCCACCGGGCTCGGCCCGCCCACACCGGGACTCTGTCCCCGCCCACGAGATTCTACTCCACCGATTGGGTTCTAGCCCCGCCCACCTTCTTCTGCCCCGCCCACACCAACATTCTGGCCACGCCCACACCGGGACTCTGGCCCTGCCCACGAGATTCTACCCCACCCACCGGGTTCTAGCCCCGCCCACCCCAACATTCTGGCCATGCCCACACCAGGACTCTGGCCCCGCCCACGAGATTCTACCCCACCCACTGGGTTCTAGCCCCGCCCACACCAACATTCTGGCCACGCCCACACCGGGACTCTGGCCCTGCCCACGAGATTCTACCCCACCCACCGGGTTCTAGCCCCGCCCACCCCAACATTCTGGCCATGCCCACACCAGGACTCTGGCCCCGCCCACGAGATTCTACCCCACCCACTGGGTTCTAGCCCCGCCCACCTTCTTCTGCCCCGCCCACACCAGCATTCTAACCACGCCCACACAGGGACTCTGGCCCTGCCCACGAGATTCTACCCCACCCACCGGGTTCTAGCCCCGCCCACCCCAACATTCTGGCCATGCCCACACCAGGACTCTGGCCCCGCCCACGATATTCTACTCCACCTACTGGGTTCTAGCCCCGCCCACCTTCTTCTGCCCCGCCCACACCAACATTCTGGCCATGCCCACACCAGGACTCTGGCCCCGCCCACGATATTCTACGCCACCTACTGGGCTCTAGCCCCGCCCACCTTCTTCTGCCCCGCCCACACCAACATTCTGGCCCCGCCCACACCGGGACTCTGGCCCTGCCCACGAGATTCTACCCCACCCACCGGGTTCTAGCCCCGCCCACCCCAACATTCTGGCCATGCCCACACCAGGACTCTGGCCCCGCCCACGAGATTCTACCCCACCCACTGGGTTCTAGCCCCGCCCACCTTCTTCTGCCCCGCCCACACCAACATTCTAACCACGCCCACACAGGGACTCTGCCCCGCCCACCAAATTCTGCCCCTGCCTACCGGGTGCTGCTCCTCCCCACACCGGGACTTTGTCCCCGCCCACACTGGATTATAGCCCCACCCACCGGAATATGACCCCGCCCACACCAGGGTTCTGGTCCCGCCCCACAGAGACCACCGAGCCTGCTCCTATGGAGGTGGGGGGCGGCCTCCTATTCCCAGAGTGAGGCCCACCTGGAGAAGCACTTGCTGCGCTGGCCAGCCCATTCCTGACTGTCAGCTCAGGGTCTCAAAGGGAGTCCCCCAGTGCTCACGGAGCCCGCATGTCCCACAGGAAGTGGAGGGCAGAACCGCAGCTCCAGCGGCTCTCGTGTTTCGCACCCCATGCAGGGCCGAGCACCGGGTGCCCACTGACCCAGAGACGCGAGTTTCCCACCTCCGTCCAGCACTGAGTGTGGCGCCCTGGGCACCATGCTGGAGGGGTTGCAGGGACTCCAGGAGGCCCAGTGCACGTGGGTGACCCCTGTAGGCACCACAGCTAGGGTGGGGGGTCCTAGGAGCGGCATGCAGACACCACACTGAGCTGGGCCTGGGCTCTGCACACGGGTGCTTTGGGATACTACCAAGGGATATGTGTCCCGAACACCAGGCCTCTCCTGGACCTTCTTCCAGGCTTTCTCCTCCAGGAAGCCCACCCTGGTATGTATGGGGGTCACGGGTCCCCTTCCCTCTTGACCTGGCCCTTCAGCCCCATCAGGCGCTTGATGCCCATCTGATGGCCTTGCTGCTTTCTGCTCCCTGACGCCGGCCTTCACTCTGGGGCCCACATGGGCCTGCCAGCTCAGTGCTGAGCTTGAAATGACAGAATGACAGGGACTCGGGTCACCCAAACCAAAGCCAGCTGGACTCCAAGACAGGACTCAGAGATCAGACCAGGCTGCCTGTGGCGGGGCCCTGAGCTCGCGGGCCACAAGGAGGGATGGGGACCCCAGGAGCACCTTAGAGGAGCAGCTGCACTTTCCGGTGTGGCCACCGGAGGGCGCCCCATCAACGCACAGCGCACGTGGGGGCCCTGGCTTTCTTGGGGGCAATTTGGCTGTGCCTCAGTTTGCACACCTGTTCCCGGTACCTGCCCTGGCTGCGCCCCGGGAGCCCGGTGCCAGAGCCAGGGCCACCATGGGCCCTGGGGAAATCGTCTCACGGAGAGGCAGGAGCGTGGATGCCTGGGTGCGGGGGTCGCTCACTCACCATCCGACTCGGAAGCGGCCCTGAAGATCAGGTAGCTGCTGGGGAGCGGCTGCGTGATGGAGCCCACACTCTCACCTTTGGGGCCCTGGGGAGGACAGGGCGGGGTCAGGCGCAGGGACACCAGGGTACGTGGGAACCTGCTGGCCAGACCCGACCAGGACCTGCACGCTCAGGCACTGTCCATGCAGACACGAGGCCAGCAGGCGGCGTGGAGGTCCCCCAAATCAGGACGCCTTGAGCCAGAACACGCACCCCAGGACCCCCAGCAAAATCGGAGTCTCAGAGAAACAATAAACGGCGCTTTAAGGCCCAGGCAGAGCTCCTGCAGCATCAGAGACGCTGGGAACAAACAGGTGAATCCACGTTTCGTGAACGTGTTTGGGGCCAGGGCTGCCGTGTCCAGGGTCAATCTGGGCTTCGTGCTCGGGGCCACTCCTGGCGGGGTTCAGGGGACCAAACCAGGGCTGGCTGAGTGCAAGGCCCCCCCGCCTGTGGGCGCCCCTTGCCCTGCAAGGCCCTTGCAGCCAGGCACAGCCCCCCACGGCCCCCGCGGCCCCCAGGGACGCGCTACCTTCACGGCCCACACGGACTGGTCCAGGGGGTGGAAGAGCTTGAAGCAGAATCCGTCCTTCTTGGAGGGTCGCTCGAGCAGCTCGCAGCAGTGCAGCAGCACCGTGCCCACCCACTGGCCCACCTTGGGGGTCTTGTAGATGAGCAGCACGCCAGGCTTCAGCACGCACCACAGCTTGGTCCAGCTCTTCAGGGTCCCACGGATCTGCAGGAGGGAGCCAAGGGGCAGTGGGGCCTTGTAGTGGAAATGGGCCTCCTGGTGGGAGGGGCGGAGCCACAGGTGGGTGTGGGCGGGGCCTCTGACTGGGCGTGGTCTCGGCCTGAGATGGGAGGGGCCTCCTGGTGGGTGGGGCTTCAGGCTGAGACGGGCGGGGACTCAAGCCAAGATGGGTGGGGCCTCATCATGGGAGAGGCGGAGTCTAGGCTGATATGGGCGTGGTCCTGGACTGGGCGGGTCCTTCGTGCTGGGAGGGGCGGAGCTTTAGACTGAAACGGGCGTGGCCAAGGTTGAAAGGGGGCGTGGCCTCATTGTTTGTTTAAAAAAAAATTCTGAAGTCCCAGGACAGACTTCAGCTGAGGACCACACTCACCGTGACCCAGGGTCCTGGGAGGAAGGAGGGGTGACAGGGGACATACCAGGTTGGTAACTTTTGCTTTTTTTTTTTTTTTTGCTTTTTGGGTCACACCTGGCGATGCACAAGGGTTACTCCTGGCTCTGCACTCAGGGGACCATATGGGATGCTGGGAATCGAACCCGGGTCGGCTGCATGCAAGGCAAACGCCCTACCCGCTGTGCTATTGCTCCAGCCCCCAGGCTGGTAACTTTTGAAACTGCTGATTCTTCTTTTTATTTTTTTCTTTTATTCCTTCTTATTTTCTGGGCCACATCCAACAGTGCTCATGTTTTTTTTTGTTTTGCTTTGCTTTGCTTTTGGGGCCAGAGCTGGTGGCCAGGGCTGACTCCTGGCTCTGTGCTCAGGGATCACTCGTGGTGGGGATCAGAGGCCCCACGGGGATCAGAGTCAGCGGCATGCAAGATGAGCTCTTAACTCTCAGCCTACATCTCATCTTTTTTTTTTTTTTTTTTTTGCTTTTTGGGTCACACCCGGCAATAATGCACAGGGGTTACTCCTGGCTTTGCACTCAGGGATCACTCCTGGCGGTGCTCAGGGGACCATATGGGATGCTGGGACTCGAACCTGGGTTGCCCGCGTTTAAGGCAAACGTCCTACTCGCTGTGCTATTGCTCCAGCCCTGCATCTCATCTTTGACTGAGGACTGTGTACTCTGGTGGGGTTGGGGGAGCCCGTGGGGGTGCATGTCCTCGCGCCCTCTCCCTGCAGGTCTGCAGCTGAGGTGAGGGTGCGGTGGGGCGGGCCCTACCTTCAGGTTGTCAGCCATGATGACCACGCTGGGGTCGGTGAGTGCGCTGAGCAGCTGTCTTGAGGCCCGCTTCTTCTCCTGCCGGTAGTTCTCCTTCTGTGCCTGGGCCAGGGGACAGGGTCAGGGCAGGGGGATGTGTGGAGGGGCCTGCAGACCCAGCAAACACCCCTCCCCATTCTGGGCCTGTGTGCCCTCCCTGGGCCGGGCCCCCACCTCTCCCCAAGTTTCCTCCCAGGCCCGCTTACCTTGAGCGTCTCCTTCTTGGTGACCTTGGCCGTGGGGAACGCACACTCCTTGTCAGACCCATCGTGCAGCTTGTGCTCCCCCTGCAGAGAGGCACACGGGAGGAGGTGCTGCCATGCTGGGTGAGAGAACGTTCTGGACTGGAGTTGGCGGGCAATCCCCAATCTGGCTGTCTGCGAGGCTGTCACGCTTTTTGGGTCATACTCGGCGATGCACCAATGGCGGTGCTCGGGGGACCATATGAGATGCTGGGAATCGAACTCGGGTTGGCTGCGCGCAAGGCAAACACCCTACCTGCTGTGCTATCATTCCGGCCTTCCTGAGGGGCCAGTGCGACCTTGCCTGTGGCAGGTCTGCACTCCAGGGATGCTCCCAGTGGCTCTGAGGGACAGGACCTGGAGGCGGGTTCCCTCTTCTCAGTTTATCAGTGGGATTTTGCCTTAAGGGGCCATTCAGATGGGGCAACACAAGTGTCCTTTGAAAACTCAAGTAAACTGGTGTTTGTCTTATATCCAGTCAGAGGAAACAACGTGGGGGGGGGGGGAGAAAAAAAAAGACTAGGGACTGGAGCAAGAGCATAGCGGGTAGGGCGTTTTCCTTGCACGCAGCCGACCCAGGTTCGATTTCCAGCATCCCATATGGTCCCCTGAGCACCACCAGGAGTGATCCCTGAGTGCAAAACCAGGAGTAACCCCTGTGCATTATTGCCGGGTGTGACCCAAAAAGCAAAAAAAAAAAAAAAAAAGAAAGAAAGAAAGACTAATAGGGGAAAAAAGCCCCCACTCAGCCCTCAAGAGGTAGAATTTTTTTTTCTTTTTGGGTCACACCTGGCGATGCACAGGGGTTACTCCCGGCTCTGCACTCAGGAATTACCCCTGGCGGTCCTCGGGGAACCATATGGGATGCTGGGATCAAACCCGGGTTGGCTGCATGCAAGGCAAACACCCTCCCTGCCGTGCTATTGCTCCAGCCCCAAGGATGTTCTAACAGCGGTGCTGGGATGCATCTGTGGCCCCCACGGGTCACTCTCGGGACGGACAGGGAGCTGGGGTGAGTGTCTGGCTGGGCCAGAGGTTCAGTGTGGGAGAGAAAGTTCTGGAAATGCAGGGGGGTGGTTGCATGACTGTGTGCATGAGCTGCTGCCCGGGGCCTGGGCCGGGGACATGGTGACAACCATCACAGCATCACCAAGTCCCTGAAAGGGCCCAAGAGCTTGTACGGGGGTTAAGGCACTCGCCTTGCAGCCCACAGACCCCGGCTTCAAACCCGCCACCACGTGCCAGCCCCGAGCACTGCCAGGGCTCCCTTGCGAGCAGAGCCACGGGGAGCCCCAGGCCCCCGAGTAAGGCGGTGTTCGCGTGCACACCCGCCCTCCGTGGTAGCACGTGTGTCCATAACTGTGTCTTTATCTCGGCTTTATTCTAAGTCTCGTAATGGAATGGTGCAGTGAAGACGAGCTCTCCTGCTCAGCGGGGTGGTCTCCAGGCCTTACGGGGGCGCCTGCCAGCCCAGGGCTGATGCCCCACAATGCAGAGGGTCCCCGGCCCGGCCAGGAGTGACCCTGACTGCAGGGCGTGCCCACCCTGCCCCCCAGTAAGTAACTGACTTTAAACAAGGAAGCGCATCTCGGAGGGGCTCCTGCAGGGGGGCGAGGGTGGGCAATGCTGGAGGCTGGGCCCCCCGCAACGCCCGGCAGCCTCCTGAGGACACAAGGACAGAGGACAAGGCCCGGTGCCCACCCCAAATTGGACAGAGAGGGCGTGGTTTGTAACTCTGGGCTCGGGCTCACAGTGGCCGGTGTGGGGGGGACCCCATCAGTGACTGGGCAGGTTACTCTCAGTGATCACCCAGGCAGGGAGGGGGAGCCCTTGAGGGGCAAAGGCCTTGAGGGGTGCCTTGTCGGTGCTCCCTGATCGCCCCTCGCTCCTGGATCTGCAGTACCCGCCCAGTCTCACCCCCATGTGCCCATGGACCCTCCTTCCAGAAGCCCCTGGGGCTGCACTGCGGGTGCCTCTTCCTGGGACCGCCCCCACCCCCCGGGGCCTTCCCCAAGCTCTTACCGGAGGCAGGGTGGTGGCGGAGCCCGGTGTTGAGAACCCTTCGTCCCTGGTCAGTGACTGGCCATTGGACTCCATGTCCTTCCCTGTAACTGTGGGGAGGGCGAGGGGAGGGAGACAGGTGCCCCGAGGGTGCAGGGGTGGACAGAAGGCCAGGCTGGGTGAGGCGGGGGCCAGAGCAGCGCCACTGCCGGGGGTCCTCACCGTGGGCCCAGAGCCCATCTTGGGCTCCCCAGCCTGCACGAGGAACTGGGGCCCAAGGCTGGTCCCGGGCATAGATGAAGGGGGCAGCCTGGGGACAGAGAGGTCACCCTGGGGCACTGTGGGACACCCTGGAACCGCCGCTTCAGGTGACACAGGGTCCCTACGCGTGTAACATGGGGTCTCTGCACCCACACGCACTGCCCAACCACTGTCCAGGGCGGATGGCCAGGGGGCTGCTGCGTGGCAGACGCAGTGGGAGCTTGGTGCCAGGGCGGGCCGGGCCAGACCCCACCTGACCCGAGGGGCTGGGGCCCGGGTGTCCCCGAGGGGCTGGGATTGGGTGTCCCTAAGGGGCTGGGACCCGGGTGTCCCCGAGGGGCTGGGATTGGGTGTCCCTATGGGGCTGGGACCCGGCTGTCCCCGAGGGGCTGGGACCCAGCTGTCCCCGAGGGGCTGGGACCCGGGTGTCCCCGAGGGGCTGGGACCCGGCTGTCCCCGAGGGGCTGGGACTGGGTGTCCCCAAGGGGCTGGGCCGTTCCTCCTCCCACCTCTGCAGGGCACCCAGCTGCTCCCCAGAGAGACCCGGGGCAGGGCCTGGGTGGGGGCACAGTCCGCGGCGCCCGCCCGGCCGGCTCACCTGCACTCAGAGGCTCATTCTCGGCGCCCAGGAGGAGGTGGCGGGCGAGTCTCCGCGGCTCGGCTTTCTGAGGGGTGGACGCGACTGGGCACAGGGAGAAGCGGCGCCGCAGGAAGGCCTCCTCCTTCATGGCCGGGCCGCCGGGGGGCTTCTGGGGAAGGGGCCACAGGGCTCTGACACGGGGTCACACGGGGGGACTGCTGGGGTGGGGGTCACATGGGGCTGCTGGGCAGGGCCCCCGATGGACACAGATGTCCTCGGGGCTGGCTCAGCAAAGGGAACGTGGCAACACGGGGCACCGGGGGCAGCTCTGCCCCTCAGGGCCAGTGAGGGTCGTGATGGCACAGGCCCTGTCTCGTCCCCGCGTGCCCGTGGACCCCAGGCCGGGCGCTCTGTGGACTGGACATGCCTGGTGGGGGGCCCTGACCGCAGGCCACCAGCAGCAGGCGTCCCCGACGTGAGATGGGCCCAGGGTGGGGAGAGGCCAACGCTGACCCCAGCTGGCCATGCCTGAGCCCCGGCCCGGCACCCCGCACCCTTGCTTAGCTCCAGTGGGCTCTGCCCACGCCCAGGCCCAGGCCAGCAGAAACAGCCCCCAGCCCGCCCCAGCCCCGTCCTCTCCCCACCCCAGGAGCCAGCCCTCCTGCCTGCGGGTCACGCCCCATACGGGCCCCTGGCCGCTACCTCCCCCAGGCTGTCCCCCTCCTGTCCTCAGTCCTACCCCAAGCAGGGCCGAGCTGCTGAGGTGGCAGGTGATGGTGCGGTCCCTGTCCATTTCAAAGAGGCCATGGCGCCAGAGGGCCCGTGGGCAGTCAGGGCCTGCAGGGTCGGCACCCACACACCCTGTGCTTCTGGCCCTGTGCTCTGACTCCTTTCTGAGGGGAGCTTCATAAGTGCCCCCGGACCACGCTCCCTGGCCCTGCCCACCCACTACTTCTCTGGTGACCGGTGTCCTCCGGCTCAGCCACCAGGACAAAGGCCCCAAATCTGGAGCAGCCCCTGCCGGGGCCACCCAGCCTGGCCTGCTGTGACGGGTGGGTGGGGCCTCAGGGGCAGGGCCACCCACCTGGCCTTCTGTGACGGGTGGGCGGGGCCCTAGGGGCGGGGCTACCCAACCTGACTTCCTGTGATGGGTGGGCGGGGCCTTATGGGCGGGGCCACCCAGCCAGGTCTTCTGTGACGGGTGGGCGGGGCTCTAGGGGCGCTTACTGGCAGGTGGGCGGGGCCTTAGGGGGCGGGGTCATCCAGCCAGCCTGGCCTTCTGGATGGACGGGCGGGGCTAGGGGCGGGGTCACCCAGACTGGCCTGCTGTGTGGGTGGGTGTGGCGGGGGCCCCTGGTGCTTGGGGTCTTCTATTGGCCGACCTGGCACCTCCCGTGTGCTGTGCCGGGCGTGGGGGTCCAGGGCACAGCTCCCTCACTGCCCTCTGCTCCACTGGCTTTGGGCCTGGTTCTGCAGCGGCCCCCAGAGCCGGCCAGCCCGAGGCCAAAGTCATCCTGCCTGGGGGATTCCTGAGGCGCTGGGGCCAGCAGACCTGGCAGCCCCAAGGCCCCTCACAGCCTGAGGCTGTCTCTGCCCAGGGTCCCCCAGGACAGGAGGGGTGGGCACGGAGGTCACGGGGAGCCGTTCCTCTCTGGCTGCTGCCCACAGGGGACCTTCCCTGCTGTCCTCCCGCCTCCGACTGTCCTCACTCGCATCCAGTCCACCTGCCTTTCTTCCCATCCGCCCGCCCCCTCACCCATCATTAGCCCAGTCACTGCCCCCCCCAGCAAGCCACTGGCCCATGTATTCACCCATCCGATGACCCCTTGGTCCATGCATCACCCACCCGCGCCTCTGTGCCTGCGTCCTCCATGCACGCATGCGTCCGTGCCCCCGCCTGCAGCTGTGCCAGCTGAGCTGGGCACATCCCCAAGTCCTGGGCGACGCAGTCCACGGGCTAGAGCTGTGGAAGGGAAGCCCAAGTGGCCGGAGCCCTGGCCCTGCCCTGCCCAGAAGCCAGAGCAGGCTCAGAACACGCGTCTCTGTCCCACAGGTCCTGCCCCCAGTGGCATCGCTGCCCCCCCCGCCCGTGCTCCCAGGCCCTGCCCCCCACTGCATGGCCCCCCATGCGCTCCCGGCCACAAAGACCCTTTATGCCACCCAGCAATCTCTCGCCCCCACTCCCAGCTGCCAGTGCCCCTGGAATGCCCCAACCCCCCCCTTCTGCCAGGCCGGGGACTTGTGGCCCTTTTGGGCGGAGGGGCCACAGACACGCAGGTTCTGGGTGCCTCTCCGCTCCCCCTTCTTCTCGGTGGACTCCTTTCCCTGTGCTCCCCGGCACAGCTCCCGCCTCAGTGCCCAGCTTGCTCCAGCCCGGGTGGGGAGGGCAGGAGTAACGGGCACAGTGCGGGGGGCACACTGTGGGGGGCAGAATCAGGGAAGTCCCGGCTAGAGTCACGGCCTGACTCCGGACCTGACTCTGGGGGTCTGGATTTTGGGGGGCCCGGATTTGGGGGGTCTGGCGCTGGGGGTCTGTCTGGGGGGGCCTGTCTCTGGAAGTCTGTCTCTAGGGGTCTGTCTCTGGGGGTCTGTCAGGGGGCCTGTCTCTGGAAGTCTGTCTCTAGGGGTCTGTCTCTGGGGGTCTGTCTGGGGGGCCCTGTCTCGGGGTTCTGTCTGGGAGTCTGTCTCGGGGGGGTCTGTCTCTGGGGGTCTGTCAGGGGGGCTGTCTCTGGGGGTCTGTCTCTGGGGGTCTGTCTGGGGGCCTATCTCTGGGCGTCTGTCTCTAGGGGTCTGTCTCTGAGGGTCTGTCTTTGGGGACCTGTCTCTGGGGGTCTCTCAGCAGCCCCTGCTCAGGAAATGGGAGACTGGCCTCATCTCCCTCCCCTTCCTGCGCCGGGGGACCCTGGCGAGTGTGTGCCCAGTCCCATCCCCTCAGGCGACCTGAGGCGTGGGGTGAGGTCCAGGCCCACAGCAGACCCGGGCTGAGCTGGCCTCTGTGCTGGGTGACTCAGCTGTGCCGGGAAGGGGGAGGGAGGTGTGGCCCTGGCCACGGGGCAGCAGCAGGGCCAGCAGCAGGGCCGCTGCCACACTCAAACCACGCAGGGGAGGCCGGAGGGCGGCATGGGGCGGGCACTGGCCTCTGGGAGGACGGCCTGGAGGGGGCGCTGGCCTCCTGGAGGGCGGCCAGGCTGTTCCTGGGCTCCCTCCTGAGCGGACTCAAGACGAGCCCCCAGCACCGCTCGGGGTAGCCCCAAATCTGCCCCTCAGAAAAGCCCAAAAGGTCCAAAAAAAGACAGCACGGTGGAGAGGGTGCTGGCCTGCACTCGGCCGGCCTGAGCTCGATCCCTGGCACCCCTAGGGTCCCCTGCGGGAGTGACCCCTGAGTGCAGGGCCAGGAGTGAGCCCTGAGTATTGCCGGGTGTGGCTCCCCCCAAAAAAACAACCCAAACAGCAGAGCTCAAAGATGAGCCTCCCTGAGCACCCTCAGTGTGTGCGGGCGGGGAGGCAGGACCCGGGTACGGCAGGCAGCGGAGAGCCACGCTCGGATCCCGTGGACGGCAGGGCCCCAAGGCTGCCACCCCACCAGCCTGGGAGTGAACCTCGTCCTCTTTGAGAAAGCCACCCAGGTCCCTCCCAGGGGGCCAGTCACCAGCCCCCCTACTCCTGGGCCAGGGCCACAGGGGGCTGGCGGGAGGCGGGGACAGGAAGCGTCCGGCCCTGCGCAGGGGCACGGGTGGCGCCCAGCCTGAGTGTTTGAGGCTGACTCAGCCGGCCCAGGTGCTGGCGCGGTGGCTGGTGCTAGTCTCGGGTGCCGCGGTCAGCTGCCCCGCCCACCCCTCCTCTGCGGTGCCCTGACAGCCCCCCCATCCCCGACCCAGGAAGGCCCCGGCCGTGGGGAAGGGTCCTGGCGTGTCCAACTGGAAGAGTGTCCCCCTCATGTCCCTGTCGGGCGCTCCCGACTAGGGAGCGGACGGTTGGGGTCACTCATGACCGGCACTGGCCTCTGCGTCCACCCCCGACACAGAGGCGGGTCTGGCCCCCGGCGTCACGCACGTCCCCCCTCTGCTGTGGGCTGGCCTCAGTCCCACGCCCGGAACACTCGGGGGACACTCCCTGGCCAGGCCCTGCTGCCCTGAACGTGCCCCCGGGGGTGAGGGCTCGCAGGACAGGCAGAAGCGCAGCCCTGACGAGGTCCCACCTGTCCTGCTCCCTCCCGGGGTCCAGTACAAGCCTGCAGGGTCACTGCTGACCCCATGGGGAGTCGGGGGTGCTCGAGGCATCCCCTCTGCCCAGACCGTCACCCCTCCCCCCCACCCGCGGGCACACGTGCGCCTCCCTGGGCTGGGAGCGCTGGGCCTGGACCAAGGCCGGTGCCAGCCCCTGAAGCTCAGGCCGGGGAGTGTGTCCACCCCCAGGGTCCAGAGCCCTGGCCCGTAACAGCCATGGAGTCTGTGGTGGAGGTGGAGGCAGGCCGGGAAGGTTCTGGAACGGCCACAGACACACTGTTCTGGTTTTTCAGAAGCTTGTTCTGGGGTGCGGGGGGTGTGTGGGTAATCCATGAGCCCAGCCCCATGGCCCCCTGGGAAGTCCAGCAGGCGCAAGCCTGAGGACTGGGCAGGGGGGACAGGCCCCGGCTTCCTGGGGTCAAAGTGGCCCCGTTAGATTTTTTCTTTCGTTTTTGGGACACACCTGGGGGTGCTGAGGGATGGCTCCTGGCCAGCTAGGGGGCCACCTGGGGTGTGAGGCAAACCCCTCCCTGCCCCCACCCTCGCTGCCGCTCAGGTCCTTCCGTTCTATTTTCTTCTTGGTCTTTGGGTCTCACGTGGCAGTGCTCAGGGGTCACTCCCGGAGGTGCTGGGGGGACTCTGCGGTGCTGGGGGTGTCCCATGGGTCGGCTGTGTGCCATGCAGGCGTCTTCACCACGTGCGACCTGGCTCCGAGCCGGACCCCTGCAGCGCCCCTGACGCTGACCCCACGGGCAGCTCCCCTTCTTGGGACCCAGCCTGGAGCCCGACCCGCCGGGAGGAAACTGCCCCAACTCGCTCACCTGGGGCCCTGGGTTCCGTCCAGACCTTCCTGCGGGCCAGGAAGGGGCCCAGGGAGGGACCCGACTCATGTGCCTGCCGCCCCAGCTATCCTGTGCCCGCCTCCAGCACTGTGACCCCCGACCCGGGGCCCAGCTCTACGGTGGGGGGGCATCGGCCTGGGGTCTCACAGAGCTGCAGCCCCACCAGCGCCCGTCATCCCAGGGGTGATGTGGGCGCCTTGACTTCCGGAAAGTTCTGGGCGTCCCCACCCAGTCGACCGCACCCCGCCCTGCCTGCTGGGTCAGGAAACAGGCTCTGTCAGACCCTGGAGGCTGGCAGCGGCCACAGCGGTCAGCTGGGTAGGGCCATGCTGGCCCTGGGCCAGGCTCCTGCCTGACCTGCCTGGGGGACCGCCCAGGAAGTGGGCTGAGGTGTGAGGGCTGGTTTCCTGGGCCCCCAAGCCCAGCTGCCCCCTGCCGCGCCCCTCAGCGACAGCCTCCTTATCAGGCGTTTGGCTTCACCAGGATGGACCAAAGGGGCAAAATCTCCTTGTGGGGTGTAAGGAGATGGGGGGCTCCAGGCTGAGCATCACAGGAGGGCTTCCTGGAGGAGGTAGCTTCCCATGATGGCAGGGCCCCAAGGCTGCCACCCCACCAGCCGGGGTGGGTGGGGTGAGTCTGGCTGGCCTCTGCTTGCTGGTATCCCACGCGCAGATCCCAGACCCTGTGTTTCTGAGCCCCACAGCAGGAAGGGTCCCCCCAAGCCCCCACAGCATTAAGTGGGGCCGGACAGACCCTCAGTGGGGACCTGCGGCCCCCGCAGCCCTTAGGGGGCAGCGACAGTGAAGGGAACCGGGCGTGGCTGCTGTGGCCCTAGGCAGGGACAGCCCTGAGCTGTGCTTGAGAGGAGCTGACGGCCCAGACACCCACGCATGCTCACGCCAGGGGGCTGGGGGTAATACACGTGTGTTCATAACGCGGCGGGGGCAATGCACACGCGTGTGCACGCCAATCTGGGAGTGACGGGGGCGGAAGGGGCTGGATGCCCGCATGGGCAGGTGAGGCCCAGCCAGGCCGCTGCGGGCCAGTTGCCCGCCCTGCCAGGGCAACACCTTCACGGAAGCCTCTAGAAGGTGGGAATGAAGTCTACAGCACGGAGGGTGGGGGTGTTTCTCTCATTCCTGACCCCGAGCCCAGGAGGACTGTCCAGCCTGGCCGCCAGACCCCACTCTGCCTGCACCGGGAGCTCCAGGCCAGCTGCAGGGCTCCCCTGGGCTCTGGTCAAACCACGTATGCCCCCCGGGTCAGACCCCCCACCCAGGGTCGGGGAGACCCGCCTAAGGGAAGAGGCACACACAAGTACACGCATGAACACACGTGCGCACACATGCACACAGGCACCATGCGCACACACGTGAATGGGGCTGGAGGGGCAGGTTGCCGGGCTGGAAGCCCCTCCAGAGCTGGACTGGGGCCCAGGACACCACCAGTGCCAGACTGTGTGGGGGTCTCCCGGTCCTGCCCACCCTCAGGCCCTGTCCCCGTGGCCGTGTCCCAGCCCGGGGAACCTGGTGGTGTGGCCACGGCCCCAGCTGGCCCCTCCCCCACTCCCTCCCATGCCATGCTCGGGACGGGGGCGCCCACCCACCCAGCACGCCTCAGCTCCCACCCACCGGGCATGTGTGGCTCTGGCACAGCCACGGCCTCCAACCCAAGTTCACACAGCCACGGGCGCCAGGACCCCACGGGTGTCGCTGCCCGCTGCCGGGCTGGCCCGAGGTTCCTGCCCTTTCTGAGAGGCCTGAGGCTTGGCCGGCCGGGGCGACGCCAAGGGGCCCCTTGGCCCCGGGCATGGAGAGAACGCTTTGTTTTTAAATGTGGGGTGTGGGGGCGCCTGAGCGGAGGCGGGCACGGGGCACTGGGGGCATCTGAGCCTCAGCGGCAGGCCTGGGCAGTGGTCTCGGGCGGGGTGCAGTGCTGGGCCCGGCAGATTCCTTGTGGGTGTGGGGGAGCCGGGCTTCCTCCCGGGGCATGAACAGGCCCTGCCCGGGCACTCTGCTTCCTATGGGTGGGGCGCATGGGGGTCGCCTCGACAGGCTGGGCCCAGCGGCTGCTCCCCGGATGTGCCTGCCCCCCGTCTCCGCGGGGTCCCTCCTCGGAGACTGCAGAGGGGCTTCCAGGCTGTCCTCCTTTGGGGGGCTGCTCCCCAGCCACCTGCTGGGCCAGCGTCTCGGTGACATGTTCACAGGACGCCACTCCAAGGTCAGGTCTCTGTTTGGCCACTGCCAACCTTGGCCTCATGCCCCTCATGCCCGGGCGGGCTTGGGGGTCAGTGGCCTACGTGGGAGCCACAGGACAATGGGCCAGACACCTGACTCACAAGTCCCCAACCTGCCGGGAGTGATCCCTGAGTGCAGAGCCAGGAATGCTTCCAGAGGGCAGAGCTGGGAGTGTGGCCTGAGCACCCCAAACCCAAACCCAAACCAGCCACAGCCACCAGGGGCCCCAGCAGCACCCAAGCGAGAGGCACTGTGCCGCCCTCCCCCACCGAAGTTCCTTCTCAGTGTCCCCCGAGCTTTCGCCAGCCCCAGCCCACGTGGGACCTGCCACTGCCAGCCGCGCTGATGGCAGGAACATGGCACCCTGGCACCCGGAGACCAACGGACGCTTCGCACCGGGGGAGGCCGAGCTGGGTCTGCTCGCCCAGGCGTGCACAGACTCTGGCCCTGGACACAGGGGCTGGAGCAGGCAGCCCACGCAGGCATGTTCCGGGTGTGCGGAAACGGAGAGTCCACGTATGCGCCTGAGAGCACAAGTTGCAATGTGTGCACAACAAGTGTGCACAAGCTGCCCCATGCGTACGTGTGTGCAGTGCACCTGTCTGTGTGCTGTGTGCATATGTGAGTGTATTTGTATACGTGTAGGTATGTGTGTGTACAATGCACACGTACATCTGTCCTCCCCTTATGTGTATGCATGCTTTTATTTGTACATGTGTGTATATATGTGTGTCCTGTGTACACAAATAGGCATGGACATGTATAAGTTTACATGCACGCCTGCACTAACCATGTGTGTACCTTTGCACACACACGCACAGGTATCATGTACACACAACACACATGCATACACATATATGTGCCCCTGCACAATCACACACGCGTACATGGGCACACATGTGTATGTAGATGCATATGTGTGTACGTACATGTATATACGCAATGTGTACATGTATGTGCACCCATGTGGATACGTACCCGTGCATGTGTGTGCCATGTACACATGAGTACACACATGTACATATGTGAATGTGTGTGCATGTGTGCACATCTGTGTGTACTTGTGCACATGAGCGACCACGTATGTGCACACAGGTGCGTGTCTATGAGCACGTCTGTATGTGTAAATGTGTGTCTATGTCCCAGTGTGTGTGTGTGCATACGTTTCTGTATGCACTCACGTGCCGAGGTGTGGAATCGACGGTAGGCGCGAGTACCCCAAACACAGCGACCGCAGACACCCCTCCCGTCCACACACGCCTGTCGCAGACGCCCACCTGTCCACACTCTGGCCTGTCGCAGACTCTCCTTCCCTTCCCCCCGGGAGTCACCAGATCATTCTCTGGCTCAGGCGGCGTCTGGGAGATTTCAGGAGTGCCACGGGCAAGTGTGAAGACGCAGGAAGGAGGATCCGGGCACTCCGGGCAGGGCAGCTCCGGGCTGCTGGGCAGCGTCCCCAGAGGAGGCCCCGGGTCCCAGGCCTGGCCTGGCCCGTCTGCGTTGCCACCTTTCCCAGACACAGCTGGTGGCAGACACGGCACTGCCCGCTCCCTCGCTGGCAGCCGGCTGCTCCCGGCACGTGGGAGCAGACAATGGGATGGAGCCGGTCGGCGGCCACACCAGCCACAGGGCTGCAGCGGGGACTCCACCCTCTGGGACCCAGACTCCCTGAGGAACACGGTCAGGGAGCGGAAGCCATGTCCCCGCGATGCCCAGCGCTGCCCCTGGGCAGGGGGTGGTCCCAGGGGGACACCCGGATCTGCCAGTAAAAGTCACCTTGAAACCCGGGCAGCTGGTGGGCACGCACACAACTGCCGTGTAGACCAGGGGGCAAGCTGGTGGGATGTCCAGGGCGGACAGGGGGCGGGCTGGTCAGCGTGGGCTGCCGGCCCAGGGGGCGGAGAAGGGCCTGGGGAGAGGGAGGAGGAGCCCCCACCGGCCACTCAAGTCCGGGGTCACCTGGATCCCTCTGGAGGGCCCCAGCCGTGCCGGACAGGGCGTGGGCAGCGGCCCGCGGCCGCCCAGCACACCTGCACGCCCGCAGCCGGGCGACGCACGCCGGGTCCTGGGGGTCACCTGTCCCCCCTCCCCGGCTGCTCTCGCCAAGCCCCAGCGGCGCGCGCTCTGCGGACGCTCCCCGCGCCCGGCCGCACCCGCACCCGCACCCGCGCCCCCCACGCCCCCGGCCCCCCGTGCCCCGCACCGCGTCTCCGGGATCCCCGCGTCTCCAGGTCCCCCGCGACCCCAGGTCCCTCGTACTCCCCGTCCCCCTCTGTGCCCCTCGCCCCCCGCGATCCCCGCGTCCCCAGGTTCCCCGGCGCCCCCCAGGTCCCCCGCGCTCCCGGTTCCCCCTGGGCCCCTCGCCCCCCGCGATCCCCGCGTCCCCAGGTCCTCCGGGTCTCCCAGGCTCCCCGCGCCCCCCGCCGCCCCGCTTCCCGGGCTCGGGTCCAGGCGGGGGTGATGACTGCGGCGCGGGGCTGCCCCATCCCCGCAGCCTGCGGCCCGCGGGGCCCTCGGTCCCCTCCGGACTCCGCCCCGCGCGCCCGCCCCGCCGCGCCCCGGCCCGCCGCGCTCCTACCGCGAGCTCCGGGCTGCGCTGGCGGCGGCCGGGCCGCAGGAAATGCCAGAGGACGAGCCCGCCGCGGCGCGGGAGGGGCGGGGCGGGGCGGGGCCCGGGGCGGGGCGGGGCCGCGGGCAGAGGGCGGGGCCGTAGCGGCGCGGGAGGGGCGGGGCCGCGGGCAGAGGGCGGGGCCGTGGGAAGAGGACGAGCCCGCCGCGGCGCGGGAGGGGCGGGGCCGCGGGCAAAGGGCGGGGCCGTGGGCAGAGGACGAGCCCGCCGCGGCGCGGGAGGGGCGGGGCCTGGAGCAGGGGCGGGGTCTGGGGTGGGGCCGCGGGCAGAGGGCGGGGCCGTGGGCAGAGGACGAGCCCGCCGCGGGAGGGGCGGGGCCTGCAGCAGGGGCGGGGTCTGGGGCGGGGCTGTGGGCAGAGGACGAGCCCGCCGCGGCGCGGGAGGGGCGGGGCCTGGAGCAGGGGCGGGATCTGGGGCGGGGCCGCGGGCAGAGGACGAGCCCGCCGCGGCGCGGGAGGGGCGGGGCCTTGGCGGGGCCTGTGGGAAGGGGCGGGGCCTCCCGGCGGGCGTGGTCTGGGCGGGGCAGTCCTAAGGTCAGAGGAGGACTCGGTGCCCACAAATCGCGGCTGCGCTCCACCGCGCTGGAGCGGGCTCTGGGTTCCTGGCCCCTCAGGCACATCCCGGGGCCCCATGCCATGTAGGGGCCAGGGGCCAGGTCGGAGCACAGACAGGCAACAGGCTGGGTGCACAGTGCCAAGGGCTTGGCCTCCTTGGGTTCCTCATTTAGGGGTGCGGGACTCGGGGCATCAGGGCTGTGTGTGCAGAGTGGGCTGTCCCCTCTCTGAGCCACAGAGTCCCATTGCTCCTCAGCGGGCTGGCTTGGGGCCTTACGGAGCTGTGCTCAGGGCCCACACCTGGCAGCTCTTGGGGGACCCTAAGGGGTGTTGGAAGTCAAACAGGGGTCACACATGTGCAAGAGCCTCAACCCTGGCACTATGCAGAAGCCACCGCTTCTAACCCTATCGTGGAAGCCAGTCCTTGTCCACATCCTACGGGCGCGCTGCAGAAGCCCCCTTCTGCCCACTAGCTGCTGCCTACGCCTCCCTCCGGCCCCCTCTTCTCTCCTGCCCCCCTTTCTGATGCTCCTCCCAACATCCCTTGCATAGCAAAGACACTAATTCCACCAAACAGCCCAGTTCCACAGACGTGGGCTGAGGCGCGAAGGAGCTGGGAGCCCCAGATGGCCCTGAACTCACAGCTGTGTCCCCCGGCCTGGGGGTACCTCCACATCTGTGCCCCAGCTGCCACCCGCAGCCAGTGAAGTGGGGACCCCGACAGTGTCCAGCCTTCTGCCCTGCACCCCAGCCTCACAGACAGCCACGAGCCTGCCGTGCTCATTAGCGGCTTCGGCGCGGGGGACCAGCTCCCCTGCCCCCCCAGCATGGCCTGGCCCTGCTCCCCTCACCTTTCGGGGTGCCTGGATGCAGAAGTGCTCAGACAGGAGGCGCAGGGCCATTGCGGGTGCTCGGCACTGGGGGACTGTGCCACCCGTTTGGGGACCCCAGAGAAGCTGCACACAGCGTGGCGGCCGGAGTCTGGCACCTGCCGGTTGCCGGGGCTGGTCCTCAGGGGACAGGCTGGCAAACAAACCCGTCCCTGGGCACCGTCTCCAGGGCTGGCCGGGAAGTTTCCAGTCATTCAGAGGCACCACCAGGGTCCCCAAGGCCTCCCAGGGGCCAGCAGCACTGCTTCCGGCCACAAGGGGGCACGGCTGTGCCTTGCACACACCCCACCTCCAAACACACACACACACACATACACACACTCACACACATACACACATACTCACACACACATACACACATTCACTCACATACACACACTCACACACATACACACACTCAAATTCACACACACATATACACATATTCATACCCACACACATACTCACTCACACACATACACACACTCACACAACTTACACACACTGACACACACACATACACACTCACACACATGCACTCACTCACACACACAACTAACATACACACTCACGCACATACACACAGTCACACACACACATACACACACACACTCGCATACACACTCACTCACATGCACACAAACATACACACATACACACACCCACTTACACACACTCACATACACACACTCACACACATACTTACACACACTCACATACATACTCACACACAAACACTGACTCACTCACACATACACTCACACTCACACACACACACTCACACATACACACACACACACACACGCTCCCACGCTCCGCCTCTGCACTTGGCTGGGCCGTGAGGCAGTGGACAGGCCTCTGCATTGCCCAGTTGGGAAAGTGGGCCCGAACGCGGCGCTGCCCAGATGGTGCCAGATTCTGCAGTCTCCCTGACGGCGCCGCCCCTGTGGACGCCAGGGCTGAGATGAGCCGGAGCAAAGCCGCCCCACCGCTCTGCACATGTGCCCGCCTCCCACTGCGTCCCCTCGCATCTCCATGGGCCAGGAGCAGGCCTCTTACCCCGCAGGACGGGGTGCTGTGGGGGCAGCCGGGAGACAGGAGGAACTGGGACGAGACGAGGCTGTCGGGGCTTTTGGCCCGTGTCCCCGGGCACGGTGGGAGCAGACTTTCCCCTGGGCTCTGGGGCCCTGTGCAGGCCTGAGGCTGGGGTCCCCTCCCCACAGTGCCCCCTCGTACGCAGGCTGTCCCTGGGGAGCACACATGGAGGGGCAGACAGAGACACGCGCTCCCCCACGTCTGCTGACTTTCTCTTGGCTCTGTGCTCAGGGGACCATCTGGGGTGCCGGGGATCCAGCCCAGGTTGGCTGCATGCAAGGCCAGTGCCCCCGCTCTGCTCTCTCCAGCCCCTTGCTCCTTTTTTGTTGTTTCGTTTTTTGTTTTTTTGGGTCACATCTGGTGATGCACCGGGGTTACTCCTGACTCTGGCTCTGCACTCAGGAATTACTCCTGGTGGTGCTCGGGGGACCCTATGGGATGCTGGGAATCGAACCTGGGTCAGCCGTGTGCCAGGCAAACGCCCTCCCTGCCGTGCTATTGCTCCAGCCCCTTCTTTCCCTTCTAAAGGGAATTAAAATCTTGGGCCCCACCAGGCTGTGCTCAGGGCTGACTCCCGGCTGTGCTCGGGGGCTGTGGCGGTGCGGGCACTGAACCTGCGTCCCTGCCCTCCTCGCTCTGGCCTGGCCACCTGCCTTTCCTTCTGATCCCAGAGCCTCAAGCAGGGTCTGGTCACCCAGAGGACGGTGGAAGGCTGGTGTGGGACTCAGGCCTCTCTGCTTGGTGACCATTGTCCACCGGCAACCACCTGAGGCCCCCGAGGAGCAGAGTTCTGACAAACCCACGAGGGCAGGGAGGGGGCAAACACTGGCTCTTTGCAGCCCATCTTGGAGAAAACTTGAGGATTCCAGAACTTTCTCTGGAAGGGTCTGTGAAGAAGAGTGAGGAGAGGACGCTGCGAGACTTGGAGGCTGGGAGTCCCTGTGAGTGCCGGGAGGCGCTGCCTTCCCTGGGTCCCTGTTCCTCTTCTGCAGCCTGGGGCTGGACTTTGGCTCAGGGGCTGAGCGCGAACCTGAGGCAGGTAGAGGGCATGCAGCATCTCTCCAGGAACCCTGATGGGGCACCCAGAGGACCCACTGCAGGTGGCACGGAGCCCGCATGGACGTGGGGGCATTTCTGTTGCCCCAGCAGGAAGCCTGGACACTGCAGAGAATGTCTACACTGGCTTTGGAGTTTGGAGGACAGCAACTCTAAGAGGGGGCCGAGCCCTCAGGGGCTGGGGCGGCTCAGGGCTGCAGCTGTTAGACACCCTGGTTTGCCGTCCCGGCCCTACAGTGATTTTTCCCGTCTCCTACTAACTTGCAGTGAGAGTTTTGGGCGGCAGATGGGGCCCAGCTGGCTTCTGCTGAGACGGATGAACAGGTTCCTCGACACATCGAACGGCCCCTCTCTCGCCAGGAAACGCTGCTCTTCACTGGGAAGTCCTGGTGCTGCCTGGAGGTTACTGAGCCAAAACCCAACCCCACCCCCAGCTAAAAGAAAGAGAAAGGATCCTAAAATGGAAGGCTTGAAACCCACTGATGCAGAAAATGCTAGAAGGTGATCGCCGTCACCACCACCACCACCACCATCACCATCATCATCATCACTATCATCATCATCACCATCACCACCACTACCATCACCACCATCACCATCATCACCACCACAGCTATGAAGTGTGATCATCGTCACCACCATCACCATCATCATTATCACCATCACCACCACCATCATCACCATCATCATCACTATCATCATCATCACCATCACCACCACTACCATCATCACTATCATCACCATCACCATCATCAATCACCACCACAGCTATGACCAACATTACCATCATCACCATCACCACCATTGTCACCATCACCACCACCATCATCATCACTATCATCATCACCATCACCACCACTACCATCATCAGCATCACCACCATCACCATCACCACCACAGCTATGACCAACATTACCATCATCACCATCACCACCATTGTCACCATCACCATCACCATCACCACCATCACCACCATCATCACCACCATCATCGCCATCATCACCACCATCACCATCACCATCACCACCACCACCACCATCACCACCATCACCATTACCACCACCACCACCACCATCACCACCATCATCATCACCACCACCATCACCACCATCATCATCGCCATCATCACCATCATCACCATCACCACCACTACCATCCTCATCACTGTTTCCCCTTGCTTGAGCACATACTATGTGCCAGGCATGGTTGAGGCATATCTCACTGTATTGTCATTTGCTTTCTTCAAATATGGATTATTATTATTAGTTTGCAGATGGGAGGTTTGGGCTTCCATGCCCATCGGGTCTGGGTGCGTTTCTGTATTCATCTGTGCCTCTGTGCCCCTCTTCAGGAACCCTCACGACACTCCACACTTTTTCCTTCTCCTGCCTGCTATGGTGATCTCTTTTCTCCTGGGGGAAGATACCTGGCAGGCTGCGGGGAGGGGGTGGTCACTC